CAGTTCAAGGCTTTCTCTCTGAAACTTTAAATTTTTTCTCGTTTGTCGGTAGAGGCGAGAGGGTGATTTGCCGCGTGGTGCGGAGCGGGCGCTTTTTAAAACCCGGCTTTAAAGGCGGCGTCCCGAGCTCCGGTGTCCCTCGTTCTTCACGGCTTCTCGGGTGCGGCTGCAGACCCTCCAGGACCTTTTTTTTGTTTTTTGTGGCAAAACATGTTTAATATAAAATCTACCTTCTTAGCCCCTGTTGAGTGTGCAGGTCAGTGACGTTAAATTCATTCACGTTGTGCCGCCGTCACCCCCACCGTCTCCAGAACGTCCCACCCTCCAAGCGGACCCTCTCCCATCGCACGCTCGCCCCCCGCCCCGCCCCCGCCCCGGCTCCGCGTCTCCTCTCTGTCTCTGTCTCTGTCTCTGACGGCCCCGCGACCCCGCGACCCCGTGACCCCGTGAGGGGTCGTGCAGCGCTTGTCCTTCCGGGTCGGGCTTACCGCATGGGCACCGCATGGGCGTCGCGTCCTCGAGGTGCGGCGTCGGCCTCGTCTGCCGATGGGCCCGGCTGCTCCCACCCTCGGACGTGGTGAGTCGCCGCTGTGGGCGTGCGTGGGTGCGCAAAGGCCGCAGCACGCGTCCCCCTGCTCGGGCCCTGGCAGCTTGACCCTGGGGCCACCGTGCAGCCGCCTGGTTTCAGTTTGCGCAGGAGGATCGGGAACGGGTTTGGCTCCGTGTGCGGGTCTGCGGGAACCACTGCCTTTCCTCTGAGACCGGTCACCGAGCCCCCAGTGAGAGGCTGGGCCTTCCCAGCTGATCTTGCCGAGGTTCGCGTCCCTCGGGAACAAAGCTGAAGGCAGATAAAGTCTGATCTGAAACAAAACGAAAACCACCGCCTGGAACTTTGACGCGCAGACTGTGCAGGGAAAAACCGAGTGGCCACACAGCCATCCTGTCAGTTCCGAGGCTCCCGTGGCCGAGGCCGCCGCGCGGGGCCCGGCTGGCGCTCGGAGGCCTGTGGGCAGCGGGCGGGGCCGTCCCTCCAGCCCCGCGGCGGCTCCCTGGGCGCGGCCTGGCACTCTGAGCGGGACGGCAGCTTGGAAGAGCTGCCTTTGAAGGTCGCCCTGGGGGGTGCGGCGCTGACCGGCCGGGGGAGGGGCGTGGACCCGCTCAGGGAGCCCCTCCTGCAGCCCCAGGCGTCCAGCTCTCCAGCTGTCCCCTGCCTTCTGCACTGGCTTCGGGGGCCGTCGCCCTCCGCCGTCCGGCCTGCTGGCTCCGCCCCGGTGTGCGGCCCCTGAGTGTGGCGGTGGCAGCAGCAGGTGGCCTGAAGGGTGGCCCAGAGGCCCAGACCCCTGCCTCTGCGGGCCGTGAGCTCCCGCACGGGGGGCCATCTTGAGAGCGCAGTGGCCTGGAAGTGACCTCAGTGCCCCAGGCCAGGCGGCCCCAGTCCGAGGTGGGCAGTGACCCAGCCCCTGGTCGAACCTCCCGGCCTGGGGGGAGCCGAGCCACCGCACGGGGCCCTCTGGTGGCCAAGGCTGCGGACGGCACCACGCAGGGGCTGAGCCTCGCCTGGGCTCCCTGGCCTGGCGTCGGGAGTGGGGACAGTGGCCTCGGAAAGACACCGGGTGGGGGGTGCACGCCCTCAGCCCCGCCCCAGGGCTTTCCTCCGCCCCCCACCAAGTGCAGAACTTCTCAGAGACCCCCTGCCGGGCAGTGGCCGGGGGAGGGGGCGGCGGCTGCCAACGGGCTGCTCTCCCAGCCCCGGGCGCCAGGCCGGTCCGGTGTTCAGCCCCTCCGGGCCCTGCTGTTTTGTTCTGCGCAGGCCCTAAGCCCTCGCTGGGGGTTTTCCTCGTGATCGGTGCTGTGTTTTGTCAACTGCTTTTTCTGCATCAGTTGATGTGTCTGTGTGATTTTGCTTTGAAGTCAGTTGCTGTGAGGGGTGATGCTAATTGGCTTTTAGATGCCAGGCCATTAACATCTAAGTCACAGGGTCCTCGGTCAGAAGTCCCACGCCACCCTCCCCGGCACCTAAAGGAAGCGTCTCTGAGCCTGCTCACCTGGGCGGCGGCACAGCGCCTGTGAGGGGGGGGGCGGGGCGGGGCTCCTGATGGGCAGGCGTCCGGCTTGGCGGCCCCGCCCCCAGGGGCCGAGGGCAGAGGGCGCTTCGGTGGGGTTTCCTGTCTGAGCAGCAGCCATTCTTGTGTTTGGGGGTGGGTGTCCCGGGGGGGCGTGTGGCTGTCCTGTGCGCTGACAGCGGCATTTCTGCCACCTCCTGTGTCCCTCCAGGAGGACCCCTCCTCGCAGTGGACGTCTTTCCTGTCCCCAGGGGGTCGCGTGGGGCTTCAGGAAGGGGTCGGTGTGGAGGCCTTAGACCAGAAGTCCCCCACGTCTGCCCTCGGAGACTTATTTTTTATTTTACTTTTAGAGACAGGGGGAAGGAGGTAGAGAGAAGGAGAGAAGCATCGTTTGGGGCCTCTCACACTCGCCCAGACTGGGAGGCGGACGCCCACCCACCGGGCCACACCGGCCAGGGCTCTGGAGGCTTCCGGAATAGGCGTTTCTGTGGTCGAATAAGTTAGGGAAAGGCTGGGCCTCGTATTCCTACTTGGAAGTTCACGGTGCAGGGGACCTCGTTAAAGGCGCCGAGGAAAGAGTGCGCAGCGCGTGCTGGCTGCTGCTCGGAGGCCGGTGGGCAGCGGGCGGCTCCTCACGCACGGGCGGCACGTGCTGTGGTCGCACCGTGTCCTCTCGCTCGCAACTTGTGTGTCGAGTGCTCAGGCCCTCAGGGTGTGACCTCGCTGGACACAGGGTCACAGCCGATGCAGGTGAGGTGAGGCTGTGCTGGCGTGGGGTGGGCTCTGCCCCACTGTGACTGCTCGTAAAGAGGGGAGGTTCGGGCGGGGCCCCCCATGTGACGTGAAGGCAGAGGTGGGGCGATGCTTCAGGAGCCGGGGGGCACCCCCAGAAGCTGGACGGAGCCCGGAATGGCCTCCCCAGGCCCTGCCAGCCCCTCGATGCGGGGCCCACGGCCTCCGGGACCCTGGGAACCGCTTCCGCTGTCTAAGCCGCCGGCCTGCAGGGCTCGGCTGCACCCCAGGATGGCCCTGCCGCCGGCGGTGAGGCCGCAGTCCTTTGCCGGTGGCGGACGTTACCAGGCGCCCGCGACCGCGCCTTTGGAGATGAACTCTACGAAAATAACCAAGGGCTCACGCGGGCCATCGAGGAGGAGGGAAGTCGGACACATCCCACGTGCCTGCCGACTGCGGCCACGCGCACCAGCCGCGGAAGGGGCTCTGCACGGGCACGCGTCTGCCGTCTGGCCCCGGGGGGCTCTGTGGGGAGCGCTGTCGCTGCAACAGCAACGGACTCCTCGCGCGGGGGCAGCGGCCACAGGGCCCAGGGCGTCCCCCACGACAGGGGGTGCTGGACTTCCCTCCCGGGCCTGGGACTCTGCCAGCCGCAGGGGGCACGTCCCGGGCGGGATCACGGGGGGCGTTCTCGCTGCGAGGGGACCTCTGCGCCCGGCCACCGTGGGGACGGCTGGGCAAAGGGCAGGGCCCCCTCCTGCTTCTGGCGCAGAGGGGAAGCCGAGGCCCGGGGAGTGCAGCGCGGGGCAGGACCGGAACCTGTGCTGCGCGAGCTGGTGGCGCTTCCGCTCAGCACTTGCTCGCCCCACCCCCGTCACAGTCAGCGAGGCCACCCTTTCTCTGCAAAGACTTTTACTTACTTTCAGAGAGAGCGGACGGGAGGGAGAAAGAGAGGGCGAGAGACACCCCTGTGCGGCTGCCTCTCGCGCGCCCCCTGCTGGGGACCTGGCCCCCATCCCAGGCCTGCGCCCCGACGGGGGCTCGAACCGGCGACCCAGGGGTTCTCAGGCCAGAACTCAATCCACGGAGCCACGGCGGCCGGGGTTCTTTATGTTCCTTCCCAGGGGAAGGACCTTTTGAGCACCTACCCCACACTCACAGTGAGGGTGTCACACGGGTCAGCGGACGCAGGGCGAAGGGTGTGTCCCGTCACCCCCATGTCCCCAGGCAGCCGCCCCTCATTGTCCACTGATTTTGAAAAAGAGAAGACCCAGCTCTAAGGAGAGCTGTCGCTTGTGGTGAATCGGGTAGTTAAGATTTAGTGTCGTACTTATTTTTTTCCAAGGCGTGAGTTGTACCTTTTAATGAAGTTTTGTCTCAAAAAGAATTGTAGCAAAAGAGGGTCCTTATTTGAGATGTTGCTGCCGCCCCCCCAGAGCCCGGGGCTGGGACGCGGTGTGGGTGTGGGTGGGGCCGTGCCCGCGGGCTCCGGGGCTGCAGGCGGCCGGCCGGCCCTGTGTCCTCCGACCGGCGCACGACGCCCCGTCCCGGCCGAGCCTCACGTGTGCCGGGTCTCGTGCTCTCAGAAAGGACCTGGAATCGAGTCACACCCCCGGTGGTGACACAGTGAACACCAGGGGACATCGCATGGGCCCTGGCTCTGCACCTCCTGCCCCGCCTCCTCTCCAGGGTCAGGGCTGGCGCGCCCTCCTGCGGCTCCCTCAGGGCTCCACCGTGGGCCCGGGACCTGGGGGCGACTGGCCGACAGCGGTGGGGGCGGGGCGGGGGGCCGGCTTGGGGCGGGCGGGCCCTTCCTCCAGGGTCCCAGCGTAGTGACCCTGTGCTCCCCGCCCCCGGGGCCCGTGTGGCTGCGCGGACACCACACCGTTGGGGAGCCCTCGCTGGGCCTCGCTGAGCCTCGGGGACTTGGCCCGGGGCTCCAGAGGCTGCGCCCTGAGAGGCCACCCGGGGGACCCTGGGCCCCTCGGACCCACGAGGACTCAAGCAGGGGGACTGGCTGGGCTCCGCCCACTGCCAGGGAAGGACCCCCTGGGCTGGAGCGGGGGGCGGGCAGCAGCTCTTTGGGGAGAGAGTCCCCAGACCTCGGCCCCAGGTCTGGCCTCGGTGGTCGGGGGGTGCTGGGCGTCCACAGGGAGACTAATCAGCTCTCTCTCTGTCTCTGTCCCGTCTCCATCTGACGCCCAGGGGGGCGTTCTCTGTGGTCCGACGCTGCGTCAAGCTCTGTACCGGCCATGAGTACGCAGCCAAGATCATCAACACCAAGAAGCTCTCGGCCCGAGGTAGGTGGGCCGCGTGCAGAGGGCTGGGCACAGGGGCGTCCGGGGGCTGGGGTCCCGGCTGCCGTGGGGCCCGAGGGGGCTGGAGGGGACAGGGACTCCGCCCTCGAATCTGGGGCCACACGGTCACAGGGGCTTGGCGTCCTCCCCGGGCTGGGGGCGGGGAGGCCAGGCCTCTGGCGGTTGGATAACACCACCGGCCGTGAGCTGTGGGCCAGGGGAGGGGAGGGGGCCGGGGGGGCCGGGTGATGCCGGGCTGCGTGAGCGGCAGGGTTCCTCCCCAGCCCCGCCTGGCCACGTGGATGTGGGGAGGCTCCGTGGGGCCGCAGGGCTGAGCGCGGGGCCGGCACCGGGCGCCTACCCTCACCTGCCCGCACCCCTGGGCCCGGGCCGAGTGACGGCCCTCACGCGGCTGGACAGTGTCCCACGTGTCGCAGGGCCGTGCGTGCTGGCGGTGCTGCCCTGAGCGGGGACGTGGAGGGCGGGCGGGGGGCCGAGGGCTGGGGCTGGGGAGGGCGTGAGGCAGGGTCCCCAAGATGGGCGTGCAGGGCGGGTCATCTCAGCGCTGTGGGGCGTCCCACGGGTCCTCCGAGCCCGGGGTCAAGCCGGAGGGTCTGAGCTAAGCCCCTGGCCTGGCGCCCTCCCAGCTGCACAGGCGCGGGGCGGCCCTGACAGCCCCCGACAGGAATCAGAGGCCCCGGGCCGCTGTCTGGCCCTGCTGAGGCCTGGGCTGTCCCCTGTTCCTGGTTAATTCCTTATCACAGGGAATTTGTGACGCCCCGGAACCGGGGGAAGATGATAGAACGGCCCTGCCTTCCGAAGCTTCCAGCTCCCGGCCACTCGGGCCCCACCCGGGCCGCCACCCCCACCGACCGGGACGCACGGCAGGGCCCAGCGTGTCCAGCGTGTTTCTCTAACAGGAGAGGATTCTAGAAACACCCGTCCCCCCGTCCCCACATGCACAGGGACCTCCGAGCTGCGAGGGCAGCCGGCGGGGGGGGGGGAGAGTGGGGGGGAGCGTCTCAGGACCCCGACTGAGGGTGGGCCAGCAAACAGCCCTGTCTCTGCCCCGCAGGGTCGCGGCCATGTTACTTAGCCACCTGGTGCCTCAGTTTCCCCAGAGGTAATGGGATGAAGCCGTATCTACTTCAGAGCAGCGCTGCTGGGGGTAAAGGGGAGGGAGGTCCTGCCAGAGACCACCATGCGCTCCCAGGGCTGGGAGACCCGCAGTCCCCTCTGATCTTTGTTCCCTGAGGGCAGCTGTTATCTTTGTGCCTTTGGAGCCCAGAGCCACCCCCCTGAAAGCCCTCACTGGCTGACACACTGGGGCCTCCGCCCCCTCCCCGCCCTCCCAGGCACTGGGCCTCTCCCAGCTGTTCACGCCCCAGGGCCTTCTCCCAAACTTTGTCCCTGAAACTGTTGGTGACACTTCCTGGGAGGGGCGTCCCCTGGCCTCCCTGGGACACTGGGGCCCGGCACCCGTCTTATTTTGTGGGCGCCTCCCGTCAGACCCGCGGGCCACGCTGCTGGCACTTCGCATGACGGGCCCAGCCCTGTGTCCCCCGCACCTGGGCAGGCCCGGCAGGCTCGGTGCTCCCCGGTGCCCCGCAGCGAGCAGCACCGCCGGCCGCTGTCTGTGCCGCGGCCCGTCTCCCGGGGTGAGGCTGGGCGCCGGGGTCCGCAAGGGGGTCTGCTGCGTGGGAGGCCCGCGTTCGGGAGCCCTAGGGTGGGCAGAGGCCCTGGTCACCGCAGAGTCCCACAGGGCCGGACGTACTCCCTGGGAGAACCCGGCGGCCAGGTGCCCTGGGAGGCGGGGACGCGGAAGCCTGCTCGCCCGCAGCTGACTGACGGCTCCCACGGACCACGCCCCTCCCCCCCAGCTGGTGCCAGAGACTCCGTTAGATATTTTAAATTTAATACTTAATTAAATAGAGGATCTTGAGACATTCAGAACCAGCGAATGTGTTGAATAATTAGAGATTATTAAACTGCTGTTCACAAAAGCAGTTAGAGGAAAATTAATAGACTGGGGTAAGGAGATCATCGGGGATCAGGGTTTTCTAAACGTTCCTGATGCTGCCCCCCCGCCCCGCCCAGCTCACTGGTGGCGCTAAGTGGCTGGCTGGGGGCGGTTTTGTTGCCTGGGAGGGTGCCCTGGGAGGTGAGCCCGGTCAGTGCTCGCGGGCGTGAGTGTGCGGCCGGCAGGCGTCCCAGAGCGACCCTTGGCCGATGGCCGCCCGGGGCGGGGGCCTGGGCGTTTACGGTGCCCTGACCTTCAGCAGAACCATGCGTGTCTCCTCGCGGCTGCTCCGTGACCCCTGGGCCCTTGGAGGTTCAGGGCCAAGGAAACCGGGCTGCCTCCTCGTAATGCAGAGCGTGGGGCACGGGCTCTGGACCTGACCCGGCTGGGGAGGGCTGAGGGCTCCTCAGCTACATGGCTGACCTGGGGTCGGGGGTGGACCTCACAGGGGAGGGGCCTGGGCCCACAGGTGTGGAGGCGACGGGAGGGGGCTCACCTCTGTGCCCCCTCCCACCTCCAGGCTGATGCCCCTTCCTGGGCACCTGGGGCCGCCCCCGCCCAGGGCCGCGTGGCCTCCCCCAACCCCCGCCTTGGGGCGCCCCTGCAGAGGGTGGGGCGGGGCTGAGCCTGCACGCCCACACCCGCCGGCGCTCCCGCAGCGGCTCACTGTGGCTTCCCTCCGCCCACGACCCGGAGCCGGGAAGACGGCGCCAGGAAGCCCCTGAACTGGGTTAATGGGGCCGCGGCACCGCATCGCGGGGGTGCTGAGCCTGTGCGCACCCCCCCGCCCCCCTTCCCACTCCCCCCGCCTCCCCTCTTCCTCCCAGGCCCCTGTCCCATCCCTGAGGCCCGGAGGGCAGAGCTGCGGGCGGGCTGGGCTGAGCTGGGGGGCTGGGGCTCCGCTGCCACCGAGTCTCTGGTGGCATGAGGGTCCGGGACATCCTCAGACTCAGCCCATGGCGTGGCTGCCCGCCGGGTTCCTGGGCTGAGTCCTGGGGGACGTGGGGAACTCTGGGGCGCGAGGCAAGTGGCCGAGCTCAGGAGGGAAGCGGCCGGAAGAGTGGGCTGGCCTGGCAGTGGGGGTGGGCACCGGGGGCTCCTTCCTGCGGGGCCCCTCCCTGGCAGGTCCCGCCCTTTTCACCAGTTGGAAACAGGCTCCTAAAGGAGGCCCCCTGAGGCCCGCACACACGTGAGCGCCATCCCCCAGCTGGGTGCTGCAGGTGGGTTTGCAGCTGCGTTAGCTGGGGGGGCGGGGGCAGCCCACGCGGAGCCAAGCGCTGCCGAGCCAGCGCCAGACTCCCCGACCGGACCTGGGAGCTGGCTGCCCTCGGCCCTGCTGGGTGGTCAGCACCAGCCGGGGCCTCCCGGGGGCTCTGTGTCTGGCTGGTGTGCCCCCCGACCCCCCCACAGCCTGATCAGGTGCTGGCAGCCGGGCAGCAAGCACAGCCTGCACAGCCCCCCGAGGGCCGGCCTGCCCCGCCCACGCTCCCCTCTGGGCTCGTTGTGCCCTGGGGCCTTGGCCGCCCCTTAGGGCAGAGGGGACGGTGGCCCTGGGGCAGGGGCCTGTCTCCAGCCCAAGTCTCATCCCCGCCCGGCTCCGTGCGGGGTTTCCTGGGCGACAGCCAGGGTGGCCCCGGACCTCAGCTGGCACCGCGCTGTGTCCCAGGCTTCCTGTCCCAGGCCAGGGCCCCCGCAGAGCCCCTGGCTCTGCCTGCCCTCCTCTGGGCAGGGCTGGGGGCTGAGGAAGGGGGAGGGCCCCCGCCGGTGGAGGCGGGGTCTCGCAGCGACACCCTGCCTGCCTGGCTGCCGGGTCCCTGGTGCCCCGCCGCTGCCCGGGCGGGGAGAGAGGCCCGGTGCCAGGCGCTGTGCGCTTCAGAGTAGCGTTTCACACCCAGTCGCAGTTCCCAGCTCCCGCAGGTCGGCCGGGCAGAGCCGGGGAGGGGCTGGCAGCTCCGCCCACCAGCCCCTCTCCTGCCAGTGCTGCCGCTGCCAAGAGCTGGCGCGAGGCCCGGCGCCCGCCCCCGCCCCACAGCCAGGAGCGCCCGGGCGCCGGGCGGTGGGGGGTGGGGGGCCTGGGGGATGGCACCAGGGCAGAGTGGGGCCGTCCCTGGGGGCCATGAGGGAGGCCACCAGCCTTGGAGGGGGTGCTGGCCTGGAGGACCCTGGGCACGGCTGCTGTGTGCCTCAGTTTCCTCTTCTGTGACGGTGGCCGCTGCAGGTCCACACCACCCTCTCCCATCTCCCCCTGCCAACAGCGGCCTCCCCTTCCCCCCCGACTCGGCTCAGGTGCTTTGGGGGACCTGCTGCCTTGCTCGGGGGGCTGGTGAGGAGCTGGGTTCAGCCCCACACTGTTCCTCGGGGCGTTACTGGAGTTCAGTGGGCGGCCCCCCGGCACCTGTCTCTTCCTGCTGCCCTCTCACGGTGGGGCGCTGGGCCACCACAGTGACGGCCCCCGGCCGCCCTGCCCCCCGCTTTGTGGGCGGTACGCCCGGTGGGGGGCCACTTCCACTCCCTGGTCCCCGCCCTTGGTCCAGGGGGCCCCACACCTCACGGCCCTGGGGCTCACAGGTCCAGGTTAACTCATGTTTCTGAGGAAAGTTGGTTCTGTTTTGTTTGTTAAGTGATTTTATGGGCGTAAATGAATGCTGTGTTTTACATGTGGGTGTTTCTGTTTAGGAAAAGTAAGTAGCTTGTTTGATGCCTTTGCCGGCCCCGGCTGGGCGGGTGTGCGTGGCGGTCTGCGTGCGAGGCCCCCTCTAGACCTTTGGCTCAAGGGCGCTGGGCCCGGGGGCTGGTCTGCGTGTGGGGCGTGGGCTCCGTCGGGGTGGGCTCTCCCGTCCGGCCTGCCCGGGAGCTGCGTGGGTGCTGTCGCACCAGTGTGGCCGTGGCAGCGGGGACGCAGCCGCAGGGCCGCCCCTCGCCGCCGCCTCCCCGCCGCCCCCGTCCCTCCGGCGTCTTGCAGTGTCAGCTTGGATTCCTGACGTCAGGGCAGGCGTCGCCCTGGTGTTTTAGGACACACCCGCCTCCCGTTCGATCCGCAGTGACAGGTCTCGGTGGTGAAATGCAGTCCTTTACGGCACTTACGTCCCGAAGACAGGCCCCCACGCACGCTGCTCCCCTGGTTTTCTTTTGTGCCTGGAGTCAGGCACTTGCCCCGCAGGCAGCCACCCTTCACGCCCCGGCTCCCCCAGACCGCAGCCAAGCTCCGCCCAGCGCTCACGCAGGCGGGCGCCTGACCTCGTTGGAACAGGCGGCACAACGGGAACATGCACCGTAGGGCAGACTCAAGGGTCCCGTCTGCGTCCGGTCGAGTACGTGGGGCACCTGCTCCGAGCGCGCCCTCGTCTGTAGGAAATGCACAGCGGGGGAGGCCAGGGACGTGCACGGGCAGGAGAGACAGAAGCCCCGTCCCTGAGAACCCGAGCTGCACCTGGGCCGTTCTTTTAAGTTCAAAAACTGCGCGCGGTAACATGTTTAGAGAACGTGTTACTTCACTGTGAAAGAGAAGAGCCTCCAGGAGCCTGCCCCTCCCCCGTTTGGCCCTGCTTCACCGGCAGGGGCAGGGGAGGGGGGCGTCCGCCCCTGGTGCTGGGCCTCACACACCAGACCCCGCAGTTGTGTTTAGCGTCGGAGAAGCAGGACCCAGGCGGTGTTCTGTCGCGTTGCGTCCATTCGTCCGTCTGGCGGGGTGTGGGGCTGCTCCCATGTCTGCGGACACCTCGGCTGCCACCCGGCAGCTGGGACGGGCCACGCAGCTGCGCAGGCGTGGGACTGAGGGGGACCTTGCAGCGCCGGGGACAGGGGGTGGGGGGCCGCGCTGAGGCTGGCGGCGCTTCCCGGAGGCTCGAGCGCCTGTCCTGGGAGCAGGGGAGCCGGCGGAACGCCCCAGGTGACCCCCTCGCCCAGCGCATTCTATCTGCAGGTGTGACTTCCTCCCTCAGAAATGCACATGCATGTTGGCAAGTATGTCCGCGTGTCCTGACCCTGCACTCCCTATGCCTGGCACCAGGCCAGCGGCCAACCATGCGACTCGTGGGCGAGGGACCCTCCTGCCCCCTGCAGCTTCTGCTGGTGGCTGCTGGGGCGCCAGGTGACGCCATGTCCCTTTCTGTCCCCAGATCACCAGAAGCTGGAGAGAGAGGCTCGAATCTGCCGCCTTCTGAAGCACTCCAACATCGGTGAGGGCCCAGGGGCGGGCGGGGTCCCCCCTCCCTCCCTCCCGCTGGCAGGCAGCCTGCCCCCTCCAGGCTCCAAAGGCTCCCTGTGCACTGAAGCTCCCACCCCGTCCCCTGCAGCCCGAGCAGGAAATCTCCTTGGGGAGGGGTCCAGGGTTGGGCAGCACCTGTTGGGGGCACCCACGCACCCTCTGCAGCTCCCAGCTGGGGTTCTTATGGAAACACAAGGGTCCTGGGTGTCCTGTGGCTTCAGGAAAGCCACAAGGTGGTGGATGACAAAGAAAAAGACGTTGGAAACCAGAAAGCAAAGACCACGCCGCGTGCAGCCCCGACTGGGCTCCGAGGTCCGGTCCTGCGGAGCCTCTGCCGTCCCACCAGCCCGGGGCCCAGAACTGTGGTCGGGGGATCCCACCCCTGCCAGCTGTCCCTCAGGGACAATGCAGCCCAGGGGCCCCCGCCTTAGTCTCGGGGTGCCGCCGCCCTGCCCAGGCAGCCCCTCCTTCCTGGCACCCCAGGGCGAGTCCGTGGGTGGTGCAGGTGGTGGAGCTGCCCAGCCTAACCCTGCCTGCCCCACACCTCCGGGCTCCAGGGTGGACCCAGCCTACCACCCTGTGAGCGCCCGGGCGTTCCAGCGGCCCGTCCTCACCTGTGGGCTTCTCGGAGCCGGGCCCCAGGCCTTGCCGGCTCTGGGAAGCAGCCAGGATGCCCTGAGGGGGCAGTGGGCCTCCTTCACGGGGTGGGGGGGCGGCTTCTCCCGGGGGAGGCTACGTCCCATTTCCTGGGAGCCTGGGGTTGCTCCAGCCCCTGGGCCTGAGCCCCTGCCTGTCAATGACAGGCTCTGAGGCTGAGTCCTCTGGAGTCCCTGGCACGCAAATTCCTGTCCTGGCCCGAGAGGGGGAGGCGGGGGCCCAGGAACCTGTCTTGGCCAGCGCACCGGGGTTCGGACGCGGGTGTCCACGGGGACCGCAGCGCACTCCTCACTGGTTGGGGCGGGGCCCGCAGGCTTAGGGCTCCAATCCGGCCCCACCACCTGGTGGGGGCCCCTCTGCCACCAGGCAGCAGGCCCAGCCCGCCCTGCACACGCCCTCTCCTTGCCAGCCTTGCGCCCATGTGCCCAGCGCCAGCCACGGCTGGGCCTGCACTCCAAGCGTTAGTCAGGGGAGGGGACCAGGTGTCCTTTGGGTTGGGTGTTTGGACTGCCCTTCAGCACGACGCCTCGTGTGCTCAGTGCGGTTCTGGGTCAGTGCTGAGCAGTCCCCGAGGTCCTTGCAGCAGCTTCATTCCAGGGCACGGGGGAGGCAGCGCTGAGACTTCGGGGTTTAGACGGAACATTCCAGAGCACGGGGGAGGCAGCGCTGAGACTTCGGGGTTTAGACGGAACATTCCAGGGCACGGGGGAGGCAGCGCTGTGACCTGACTGCTTTGGGAGCCTCGCAGCCGTGGGATCACACAATGTGACCTTCGGTGACGGCTCCTTTCCCTGGGCGTGACGTGTGCGCGGCCTGTGCTTGCGGCAGCGAATGGCAGGGCGTCCTCCCTTCTCTGGGCCGCGGGTGCCCCTCACATATACGGGGGCCGGTTTGCTCCTCCGTTCGTCCATTATCGACGTCTGGCTTTGCCTGTCGGTGGGGTGGCTGGTCCTCCCTCCCGCCAATGGGTGTGCCCCGAGCCGCGGGTCACCGAGCTACGTGGTAGCTCTGTGTTTCGTTGTTGAAGGATCCACCAAGTCTTTTCATCGTTTAGTCTGGGGGTGTCTCGCCGTCACCCTGCCTCACTCTGTCCACACGAAGGACGCGACGGAGACCTGGGAGCTCCGAGGAAGATCGTCCGGGGATTGGCATGCATTTCATGGCTACACGATCGGCACATGGGGCGCTGCCCGTGGCTGGTGGGCTGCACAGCTGGGCCCCCAGCAGCAGCTGCGCAGGCGGAGTCCCCCGCCCGCCTCCCCGGGTGGGCTAGATTCTCTTCAGAGACAAGGTGGGACCCGGGCAGAGGAAATGGCCAGGTGCCCTCCCTGGGCAGAGAGCATTGCGTGGGGACAAGCAGGACCCTGCTGTCCCTGGGTGTCTAGCACGAGCACAACCCACAGAGGCCCCACACGCACGCCCGTGTTGCACCTGACTGTCCAAGAGATCTCAGGTTGGCACCTTTACCCACCCCCGTCCCCACTCGGCACGTGTGTAGGGACACCTGCCCCCACACCGGGCAGCCCGGAGCCAGGAGCCAGCCAAGGGCAAGGGGCCTCTGTCTCACTGGTGGGCTGGAGGCAGGGCACTTGGAGGTTGCTGCTCAGCAGCAGGCAGGTCCCCAAACCCCCTTGCTGTCCCCAGGGTCCCTGAGGTGACAGATTAAACAGCCAGGCAGGGAGAATCTTCCGCTGCCTTGTTAAATGGGGCCCAGCGCTACTCTGGGACTAAGCAGAGCCCTTCCCCTCCACTCAGCGGGGTGCCTGCCTCCCCGGACTCCCCGGCCTTCCCTCTGCGCACCCCCCTCTCCCGCCCTCTGGCCCCGGCTCCGTGATGGCAAATTTCCACCTCCTGTTTCTGGGGCTGGAACTCCACTCCCTCCTGGGGCGGCTCGAGGGTGAGCTGGGCAGGGGGGCGCCAAGGAGGCCCCGGCCCTGGGCGGGCTTCCTGCAGAGGCCACGGCAGCAGGGCCACGGGCACAGGCTCAGGGCCCGGGTGCCACGCACAGCTCAGCGCGCAGCCGCTCGGCCTGCGTGCCACGGGCGGGGCTGGTCTCTGCCAGGGACGGGGCAGGTCCCGGACGGGGCCCGAGAGGGACCCACGGCGGCCCCGCGCCTGGACCGGGCCCTGGAGGAGCCGAGGCCCCTCCCGCTTCCCCCGGGGCTGGGGTGTCCCCCCAGGGCTGCCCACCGGACCCTCAGGGCTGTGTGGTGCTGCGTGCCTGCACCCGCATGTCACGTATCTGCTGTTTTCATTCCGGTAGATCTGACGAGTCGCTCTTTCCTCAGCCCCGTCTGTGAAGTTGGGGCTGAGGTGCTAGCTAGGTTTTCTCTTTAACCATTAAAATAATATGCAACTATTTTTAAATGTTAAAAAGTATTTTTTTAAACGTGCCCATGTGCACACAGCCTCAGCTCCCACGCAGACCCCCATGTCTCCCTGGGCGAGGAGGTGGGACCCCCCCGCCGCCCCTGCCCCGTCAGCAGGGCCTGGGGTCTGGCCCCGTCACCTGCACGGCGGGACAGGGGCCTGGGCAGGGCGGCCCCCGCCAGGGGGAAAGCCATCAGCTTCGCAGACCCTGAGGCCCCAGGGGCCGGGTGCCCGGCATGGGCGGAGACCGAGGCCCCAGGAGGGTCCCTGGCCGTCAGGCTCCAGCCCTAGGTCAGGGGTCGCTGCCAGCACAGCGGGGTTCCTGGCAGTGAGGGCTGGGCCCCTGCGGGGAGCTCAGCGGGAGGTGGGAGGGTGCTGAAGCCAGTGAGGAGCCAGGGCGGCGTGGGGCCCCGGCTGGGGTGCGGGCCCTGGGGGGCAGCCCCGTGGGAGCTGAGCGCCCCCCGCCCGTTCACACTGCGGCTCACGGCCTCTGTGGGCTGCGACCGGCTTCCTGTCTGTAACCTCTCGGGATGGCCAGCTCCCAGCCGGTACCTGCCGAATGCTTAGGGCAGCGCAGCACCCAGCAGGTGGGGCGCGGTGTGCGGAGCGAGCCGCTCCCAGGAGGGCTTGCCGTTCAGGGCCGTGCGTCTCCCGCGCAGGGAGAGGAGGCGCTGGGCCTGCCTTCCTGGGCCACAGCCCACTTCTCTGTCTCTCACCGCATCATCGCCGCGGGCCTGGGCCGGCGCGGTGCGGGCTCAGGGATGGAGGGAGCCTGGCTAAGCCGTGATGCGGGTGCGGGGTGAGTCACACTGCTGACCTCGTGGCCTGGCACCGGAGCGCAGGGTCAGAACCTTGGAAGGGACGCCTCACTGGGGGCTGGGGCCCCTGCCCCTCAGTTTCTCTTCCCAAGGCCTCTCAGTGGCTCTTTTCTGGGGCCCAGTATGTGAGCCGTCTGCACACCCGGACGCCCCCCGGGCACGGACTGGGCTGCGGGCCAGTGGGGCCTGCGGGGCCCCCCGACTCTGCCCCCGCCCCGTGCCACGGGAGCCCCAGGCCCTCACAGAGGTGGCTCAGCGGCCGGCCCTCACGGCCTCTCCTGTCCCCACAGTGCGTCTCCATGACAGCATCTCCGAGGAAGGGTTCCACTACCTCGTCTTCGACCTGTAAGTGCTCGGCGTCAGGCCTGGGCGGGGTCTGCGGCCGCCCCAGCCGCCCGGCCCGGCCTTCCTCGCCTTCCCATTGGCTTAGCCATGAGCGACGCAGTCCCACGGGCCACGGCCGCCGCGCTGGGTCCTCTCCTCCAAAGGGAACACCCTGGAGACAGGAAGTGAGGCCTGTCCTCGGCTTCCATCCCTTCTTTCCCTCAGTGTCCCCCCCACAGCTGGGTGGGGGCACCCCCAGAGGGCACAAGCGTGTGCATGTGTGTGTAAGGATGCCTGTGTGTGGCTGTGGTTGTGTGTGCGCATTTGTAGATGTTGATGTGTGCGAGGGATTGCATGGACACGCATGTCTGCGTATGACTTGTGAGGGTGTGCATGTCCACACATGCATGCAGGTGCATGTACCCTTGTGCAGTGTGATTTGTGGGGCATGTGCATGTGTGTGCCATGCAGTTTGTGGGTGCCTGCCTGTGTGCATGGAGGTGTGGGGGCCGCGTGAGAAGGCAGCTGGGGCCTCTGCCACGCCCCCCCGCCCCCCGCTGGATTTAGCAGCAGTGATCTCACCCCTCGCTCCCTGACAGCGCCCTGCGCGGCGCTATATTTAGCCGTCTGTGAGTCACTACCACCGGGGACACGGGCGCTCGGGCCACGGGGCAGGCAGGGGCCACAGGCTCTGGGCAGCCCCATGTGGCCCCCAGGCTGTCACGGGGCCAGGAGAGCCCCGCCGGGTGCTGTCGCCACGGTGACGGGCTGCCTGCCTGGAGGGCTCTCTCCCCCTTAAAGCGCCGCTGCCTGGGGCTGGGGCGCACGGAGGCCCGAGGAGCCCTGAGGAGCCCTCAGCCCAGTCAGGTTCCTCGGTCAAGAGGGGCTGGGACAGTCCCTGCGAGGATTTGGCCACCGCTCCGCACCCCTGTGTCCCACAGACACCGCTGGGAGTCACCGGTCCGGTGCCCAGGGCCGCCAGGCCAAGGCTGTGCCCTGAAACGGCTGCCCCCTGGTCCCTCGGGAGTGGCAGGCTCGCTGTCACGCATTTCCCCAGGAAGTGCCTGGGCCACCAAGCTGGAGAGTGGCCTTGTCTGGGGCCTCCGGTGGCTGATGGGTGTGTGTGATCCCGGAGCAGACCGGGGAGGGGATGGTGTGCGTGCTTGTGCATGCAAGTGTGTGTGCTGTGTGCACACGTGTATGCGCATGCATGTGCATGTGGTCCTTGTCCCTCCGGCTCCACGACAGGCAGGTGTGGGGAGAAGCTGTGGTCCAGCAAGAGGAAATGGGGTGGTGTTTCTTGGGGGTCGAGGAGGAAGGGCCTCTGAACCCAGTGCTTGCGGGCGGGTGTGAGGACGAAGCCTTCGGCGCCGCCACGTGCGAGTCCTCGGGAGGCCATCCGCCCCGGGTGACAGTGGCCATGGGCAGAGGGGCGGGTGGCGGAGGGTAGGCGGTAGACAGTCATGGAGGGTTCGGGATGACAGGGCCCAGAACCGTGACTCCCGTGTGCTTTCCCGCAGCGTCACCGGCGGGGAGCTCTTCGAGGACATTGTGGCCAGAGAGTACTACAGTGAGGCGGATGCCAGGTGGGTGTCCCTCACACACCTGTCCTGCCCGCCCCCAGCCCCACTCCGGCCCCCGGCCCCCACTGTCCCGGACATGGGCCAGGCGGCCGGGCGGAGGGCTCACCTGCCCCCTGGCTGGGGGCTGGGCCTGCTGGGCTCCCCCGGGCAGGAGGCGGCCCACAGAGGGGAGCTGTCCTTGGGGTGGGTGGCTGGTGGCAGGTGGAGAGCAGGGTGGTCATGGGCGTCCCCCGCCCCTCCCTTGGGTGTCGGTCAATAACTCTTAGAGGCGCCCCCAGCCGACCTTCCTCACGGGGATTTGAAGTTTCCAATTGATTGTCCCCAAAACAGACGAGGATTCCCTGTCCAGACACCCTCCAGAGCCACCCTGATGGCAAGAGCGGCCTCTGTGTCTGGCTGTCCTCCCTGGAATCCCAGCCCAGGAGCCCTGGGGCAGCGGGCAGGGAGCCAGGCCCCCCTAGGGGATGGAAGGACGGGGGGGGGGGCTCTCTCCAGGCGGGGCCTCCTGCCGGGCAGCCCTTCCTGCCGGGGGGTGTGCCCTCGCCAGAGGATGCAGGGGATGGGTGGCCTCAGAAATGCCATGTGTAGTGTGGCTGCTGGGGGTGGCAGGGCCCCTCCTGGGAAGGGTCGGCTGCCGTGGTCTGCTGCGTGCCCTGCTTGCGGGCCACGTGCCGCCCGGACCCATGACAGGAGCATGGCTCCTGATTGTGCACCGCGGCCTGGAGACAGCTGAGGGCGGCCACGCCCTGCCTTGTCTGCCTGGTGCCTAGTCCAGGGAGATGTGCGCTTAAAAAAACAAGAAAAGCTGAGAGTGGCCCTCTTTAGGGGGTGGAATTATGGATGCTTTTCAATTTTTTAATCTTGTCTATTTTTAAATTTTTCTTTAATGAATATGTATTACTTTGCTAATCAAGAAAAATGAATATTACTTTTTAAAGCAGCTTTTTGTGACTTGCTTCTGCACCCACAGGCCACCTTGCCTGTTGGTGACGGCCTGAGGCCCTGGAAGAAGTTGTCCGTGGGTCCTGGGGTGGCCCAAGCTGGGCAGCTGGGGCTGGGGCTGGGGTGGTCTGGGAAGGGGGAGGGGAAGGCCATGGCCGAGGATGCAGGGGCACTGGCTGATCTTCAGAGGCTCCTGGGGGAAAGGCTTTCACTTTGCAAACAGCCTGCGAGCGGCCTGTCCCTTTTGAGAGGAGGAAAACGCTTTTTATTTCCTACTTACTAGAAAAGTAAAAAGTGGGGCACAGCCACCTCCTCCCGCTCCGCCAGGCTCCCCAGGGCCTGCCCGGACGTCGGAACCCACCTGCCCGCCAGGGGGTCAGGATCCAGGGCCCAGGCCTTCCTCACACCTGCCAGGGCACCGGGCTCCGGAGCAGCAAAGGCAGGCCAGGCCTGGAGAAGAGTGTATCACTGGCCGCCCTCGAAGGGATGTCACGGCCCAGGGCCAGCACCCGGGTTGGAGCTTGCCCTGGGCGGAAGAGGGATAGCACCTGGACCCTTGGGAAGGTTGTTTGCCTTTGCTCTCTTGTTTCCCTGCCTGGACCATCCAGCCCAGCTCCTGAATCCGCAGCGTCCGCCCCTGGGCACAGCCCGGGGCGTGGTGCCTGCCATGTGCTGCAGCACGAGGCCCGGGGAGGGGGCAGGGCCGACAGCCCTCGCCCCACTCTGGGCCTGGAGCCCCTGCACCCTTAGGCCAGCATCTCCCAGGGCCTTCCCTTGGAGCCCCGGGCACGCCCACTAGGCCACGCCCCCAACAAGGCCCACATCCTCCAAGCCACGCCCCCAAGGCGCCTGCACCTCACCAAGTCCCGAGCACGCCCTTGACCACGCCCTGGGCCAAACTTTGACCCACATCCCCCCGACCACGCCCTGAAGCCGGCCACGCCCCCTACCGACTCACAGCCCTCCTGGCCACGCCCCAAGTAGCGCCTACACCTCATCACGTCCTGGCCACGCCCCCAGCCAGACTTTGACCCACATCTCCCCCCGACCACGCTTTCTGCTGCTCGGGCCACGCCCCATGCCCCGCCCACAACCGGACTGCCGCCCACAGTCCAGCCACGCCCCCAAACGTCTGTGAGCCCACAGCCCCTTCCTTGCCGCCTGCCCCTCCTTCCCGGGTTTCACCCCCTTCACCCCGCGGATCCCTCCCGCCGGCATCGTGCCTTCTCTCGCGGGTGGGCTCTGCTGACTTTGCGGCGCCTTGGACCTGGCCCAGCACAGGAGGCCTCCCAGTTTGGCCGTGAGGAGGGGTGGCAGGGCGGAGGGACCCACCTGCAGCTGCCCCCGCTCCGAGGTCCTGCGCCCTCCTCCGCGTTAGAGACGAGCGTTTGAGCGTTTGACAGTTGTATGGGCGCCTTGCCTGGGCCAGGAGGGAGTCTGGCGGGCCGCCACGGGCGCCCGGGGCTGCGTTTCCCTGGGAAGCCCCGGAGGAAGGGCTCAGGGTTGTGGGAGGCAGGAGCCCCCAGGCAGAGGGGAGCAGGGCCCTTCCCTTGCCCGCGACCCTCCAGGGCCTGCTGCTCAGAGCCCAGCCCTGGCGAGCGAGCTTCCAGGGGCCCAGGTGCGCGTCCCTGGCGGAGCGGAGGCCAAGCCGCGCTGCCGCCCTGACGCCCTGGCGGCCAGGGAGTCAGGAGGAGGAAGTGGGGCCTTGTCGTCAGAGTCGGTGAGGAAACCGAGGGGTCTCTTTTCAAACCTGTAAAAGCAAAGTTCAAAGCCTTTACAAGCCAGTTTTAAAACCCCTGAAAAGCAACGTGGCTCGTGCGAGACGGAAAAAGGGCCGTGGGAGCGAGCGCTGGCTGTCCAAGAGGAGGAGCTGGGAGGATCCCGAGCTCCCGTCCAGGACCCGCGCGCCTCCGTGATGCCACTCGGGAACCACTCTGAGCACGAAGGTGACTTTCTGAATTGCCAGGACGGGACAAACGGCCCCCCGAAGAAGCAGGGAGGAGGACATCGGGACCAGCCACCGCCAGCAGCCTGCGTCCTCAGGCCGTGGTTTCAGCTTGGAGACCAGGGCAGGGGGCTGTGCCCAGAAGTCCCCACAGGTGGGGCTGCCGGATAGGGCTGCTCTTGGGCAGCCGGGTGTCCCCTCGACCTGCAGGCTGCAGAGGCTACGCCCGTGCTGGGGACACTGTGCAAGGAGCCAGCAGGAGATTGGCCAGCGCTGCCTCGTCGGCAGGGGGTGGGGGGCTGTTTTCTGTCGGGGAGCCTGGTTTGCTTGTCTAGCTCTTGCTGATCACAGGGGGCAAGGCCAGGGAAAGCCTGTGTCCAGCCTGCACGAGTGGCCCTCGGGGTGTCCCTGACGCGTCAAGCAGGGCCTGCAGGACGGTGGACAGGGCAGGAATGTGGGACCGGACCTCAGCGCTGCGCGCCCAGCCCGCGGCCGGCAGGAGGTACAGGCCGAGCCCCGCTGGGCAGGAGCCCCGTTTTCCAGGGGGGTCTTGGAAGAGGGCGGGGCGAAGCCCACCCGTCCAAGCCTACCTCACAAGCAAGCGGCGCTGTGGCAGACAGACCATGGGTCCTACTGATGTTTGGGGACCACACCTGAGAGGAGAGAGCAGCACATTCCTACAGTCGCCGCGGCCACAGATGCTGCCCAGACACCACGCAGAGGACAGGGCCGCCCCAGTGCAGTGGAGACAACGTGGGAGCTTCGAGGGCACCCACATGGAGACCCAGAAGGGCGTCTTGGAGGGCGAGGCCTCTGGGCTGAAGACATGAACCCAGGGCTGGAGCCGGTGTTTGCGGCGATGGATGGGTCAGCGCCAAGAGGCCTCCCGGGCATGGCAGGCTGCCCAGGGCGCAGGAAAGGCCAGCCCGGGCTGACGGGCCTCCGGTCGCAGGAGGAAGGCCAGGGTTCTGCAGGACCGTGAGGTTCACAGCCGGGCCACGGACCACCCCCGACCGGGGGCAGAGCCAGTTCAGGGCGAGGCTGGTCAGCAGGCAGGGGGTCCCGCAGGCCTCCCTGCAGGGTCCCAGCAGCTGCGCGGCGGCCTGTCCTGACCGCAAGGGCAGCTGGATGTGGGCAGGAGTTGGGGGGCGGGGGCGGAGCAGGACCCAGGTGCCAGCCCATGGTGGCCATCGAAGAGCAGGGGCCGCAGAGGACCCGTCATCGCTGGGGCTCAGCTCTGGGTTCTGCCACGTTGGGGGGAAGCTCAGGTTGACTCTTCTGTGCAGTGGCTGCTGGACTGTAGATGTGGCCACAGTTTGCGGGGAGAGGGCTGGTCCCCCACCCCTTTCCCTCGTTTGTCATTAGGAACGCTGAAAACATGAAGCGCACTCCTCCCGCGACCCTCGGTCCCTGCACGGGGCCCTGCAGAGGCTGGAGGGGTTCTGGGGGAGCCTGTCTGCCCCACCTCGGCCCAGCCAGGGGGCTGTGAGGGACCCCGTGGACGGTGGGCTCCGGGCGGCCCACGGCCCCAGCCTCGCCGAGCTGCCGGCGACACAGGCGTGCGGGTCTCCCAGGCCTGGGCCTGGCTCTGGGGGCTGCCGGAAACAAGGCACTTGGCAGAGGCCGGCTCAGGCTGCGGAGGTTCGCGTGTGTCGGGCTGGGGCATCTGATCCATCGGGTGGGGGACGTGGTGAAGCTCAGGTTGGGGGGGCAGGGAGCCCGGACCTCTGCCTCGGGCCCCTGGGCTGCTGCAGGGCTGAGCTGTCCGGCGGAGGCAGGGGTGGGGGGTGGCCGGGGTGGGGGTGGGTGTCCCTATTTGTCAGTAGGAAGCGGCACCTGCTCTGGCCCACGAGTGACTGGGGGCTGCAGCATCAGCACTGCCCGCACCTGGGTGACCCTTGTCCTCTGCCCTCTGCTCTTTCACCTCTGCCCTGTCCCTGCCTGGGTCCCCCCAGCCTGCTTTGCAGGGTGGGGCTCCGCCCCGGCCTCCCTCCCGGACGGCTGGCTCAGGGTCAGGCTTGGCCAGCGTGGGCCTGGGGAGGGGCTCTGGGGAGCCGGGGGCCCCCTGAGCGTCGTCAGGGGGGCCTGGGCGGGGGCACCGGGGCCGGCCGTGCCTGAGCTGACCTGAAGGTGAGGGAGGCACCCCAGAGGCCACAGCGCCTTGATTCCCCGCCTCCCGCAAACCCGCCAGGCTGGGACCCCTCCCTCATGCCACACGCACCCCCACCCCCAGCTCCTGCACCCCTGCCCTGGCCCCGCACTAATGCACGTGCTGTCTGCCGCAGTCACTGCATCCAGCAGATCCTGGAGGCGGTTCTCCATTGCCACCAAATGGGGGTCGTCCACAGGGACCTCAAGGTGAGTCCCCACCCCGCGCCGCGCGGGGCCTGCGGTCTGTGCCTGCGCGTCCCGTCGGAGGCGGCCTGGGGCGCCCTGTGCGTGGGGGCCGTGCCCGTGCATGCGCGTGTGATGTGTGAGGCTGCGTGTGCGCGTGCGCGTGCGCGTGCGCGCTCGGGGCTGTCTGCCCAAGGCCTTCGCTCCTCCAGGCTACGGGGCTGAGAGGGGCAGGTGTCAAACATCAGTCTGTGAGCACACGTCCCCGCAGGGTCTCACTTTCCCGGCTCAGGTGTAGACCTGGCAGGTGGGACTCGGGGATGTGCGTGCAGGTGGGGCTGACGCCGCAGGCGGAGCCGGGGCGGCGGGTAGGGGGCTGGTCTCCAGAGTTGCTGTCTGCAAACTGCCGCCCCCCCCCCCCCCGAGTCCCTGGCCCTCAGCTCAGCTCAGCCCCAGCAAGTGGCTCCCGACCTTTCCACAGGGCAGAGGCCGGGGCAGGGCCCTCGGGGGGAACAGCAGCCCTCCCCTGCACCCGCGTTCCTTGGACTCCAGCTCTCTCCAGGCTGGTCCGGCGGTTTCCTGTCGGGGTGGGGCCCCCTGGTGGCGGTGGAGACAGCTCTCCCCTGGTGCTGGCGCCGACTGGGGCCACCCCTCCCGCGGGCCTTTGAGGGGGTGTGTGTGTGCGTTGAGCTCCGCACGGTGCTCCGGGGACGATGTCATGCCAGCAGCAGACCCAGGACCCTCTCCTGAGCCCGTCCCCTGCCTCTGCTCCCTCTGTGCACATCCCAGCGGTCCCTGTCCTTTCACGTGTCTGTCTTGTGCGCTTGTGCTGTCCTCTGTCACTGTCTTGTCTGAATGGGCCTCACTCGGGGCGTCTGAGAGGAGGGGCCCCGGGCGTGGGCAGGAGTCCCCACTTCATTCCTGGACCCCGCAACCCGCAGCGGACTCTGAGGCCAAGGCAGAGGGCGCTCGCCCAGCCCGCGGCCTGGGGCACACGGGATCCTTGCTGGGAAAAGGGGGGGCTGCAGGGCCTCCTGCCAGGTGTGGGAAGCAGCCTGGCCAGAGAGGCCCTGCCCTGGCTCGGCCCCGGAGCTCCGGCCAAGGCGGGAGCGTGGGGACGGGAGACTTCCTGGGGCGGGGCGGGGTGGGCCCTGCACATTCAGGCCCAGCCCCGGCTGCGTCCCTGCCCGACTTCAGGGGTTGGGGCCCCTGTTCGGCTCACGCTGGCAGCATGGGGCGATAACCCGCCCTGACTCGCAGCAGCTCTGACGCCTGAGTTACACGCGGTGCCCACGCAGTTGGGCTGCGGGGCTGGTCTCTCTGGGTGGCACTACAGCGTCGTGACATAAGAACGTCCAAAAACCTGTAAGGAATTTATGAGAGTGTATCTGAGCCACACGGAGCGCGTTGCCTGGGAGCGAGGTCTCACCCTCCCGATGATAGCGGTGTCACGGGCTCTTTGGGGATGAAGGGGTCAGGAGGAGGGTTGCAAGGAGGTGGGAGAGAGCGAGGAGAGGCTACCGGACAGCGAACGGTTACAGGCTCTCCTGAGAGGGGTCCCGCCTGCGACAAAGGTGTTTTCCTAGGTGCCCAGAGACAGTGGGCGGGGCTAGCTCAAGGTAAAGGTCAGCTTTTCACTAAAGAAGCCGTAGGCCTGGGGCCTGAGGACCCACGCTGACCTGCAGAGTTGGGGACTTGCGGTCAGATCACCCGGTGAAGCTCCTTTCTGCCTGTCCCCAAGTGGCCGCGTGGTCTCTGTGGGCTTGCACGTGCGGAGGGAGCCCTGGTGGTCAGGGGTGAGGAGTCCAGCAGCTGAGGCTCTGAGCACTGACCCCTGGAGGCAGTGAGGCGGCCAGGACGGGCCCGGCGCACGGGACACAGCGTACGAGGGCCCCATCGGAGGGCAGCCACCGCCCTGCTGCCCCCGCAGGCCCGGGACCAAGGTCCTTCTGCCTTGGCGCTGCCCCCTGAGGGCGGAGGCAGCCCTTTCCCGCGGCTGCTGGACAGGCGGGGGTCTAGTCAGGCCCCTCCCACCGAACGAGAGCCGTGGGTGTGGTGGGTGGGTGTCCTGCACTGCCCGGGCTTTGGGGCCCTTGGTCGCTCCTCCTTGCCCCCCGGGGTCGGCACCCTGCAGGAAGCGCCCGAGCCCCCAGCTGGCAGCCCCCCACCGTGTCTCCGAGCAGCCAGACATGAGGCGGGGAGGGAAACCCTGTTGCTGATGGGACCCCCCAGGACTGGTAGGGGGTGCTCGGTTTGGTCCGGCGCCCCGAGTTCCCAGTCTGGGTCTGGGGGATCCCAGGCACACCTGTCCCTGCCCCAGGAGGCGGGAGGGCTCTGGGGTGCAGGCCCGGGGGCCCCAGGGGTCAGCAGTGCTTGGGAGACACCCACACGGCGGGGTCAGACCTGTGTGCCCCCCTGCAAACCACTGTCACCTCTGTTTTGTCCCCCGTTGGGGGCCCTGCAGCCTGAGAACCTGCTCCTGGCCAGCAAGTGCAAGGGGGCGGCCGTGAAGCTGGCAGACTTCGGCCTGGCTATCGAGGTGCAGGGGGACCAGCAGGCTTGGTTCGGTGAGCGCCGGGCTGGCGGGCCGGGCGAGGGGTGAGGTGCCCCCAGGCGCTCACACCACCCGTCCCCCCGTAGGGTTCGCCGGCACGCCGGGCTACCTGTCCCCCGAGGTGCTGCGCAAGGAGGCCTACGGCAAGCCGGTGGACATCTGGGCGTGCGGTGAGGCCCAGGGCGGGGCAGGCGGGCAGCCGCGCCGGGCTAACCCCTCCCACCCAGACCAGACCTGGGGTCCTGGCTGATGCTGAGCTCACGCGCCCCCCCGCCCCCCGCTGTGCTCAGCGGCCCAGGCGCTGGGCATTGCTGGGCAGACCGCCTGTGAAGTAGGGGGAGGGTAGGACGGCAGGGAGGAGGCTGTGAGCAACGTCCCTGTTCTCCAGCTGGCGCTGGCTCTGGCTGCGGGGGAGGGGAGCTCAAGGACCCCAATGCCCTCATGGGGCTCGCTGGCTTCAGAGAGTTCCCCCGTCCTAGTTGGGGCCAAGGCCCCGCCTGAGGGCCCTGCAGCTGGCGAGCTGGGCACCCGACCCCTGGGGCCGCCCTCGACACCCCTGGGGCCAGCGACCAGCCCGCGGCCGCACGTACGGGCGCAGGGATGAGCGGGGCTCGGCACAGGCCGCGGCGTGAGCCCGCTCCCCGCCCCCAGGCGTGATCCTGTACATCCTGCTGGTGGGCTACCCGCCCTTCTGGGACGAGGACCAGCACAAGCTGTACCAGCAGATCAAGGCCGGCGCCTACGACGTGAGTGCCGCCCGCCTGGCCCGGGAACCGGCTCCTGCCCGGGGCCGCAGGCTCCCCTGAGCGCTGTCTCCTCCTCCTCCAGTTCCCGTCCCCCGAGTGGGACACAGTCACACCTGAAGCCAAAAACCTCATCAACCAGATGCTGACCATCAACCCCGCCAAGCGCATCACTGCGCATGAGGCACTGAAGCACCCATGGGTCTGCGTAAGTCGCCTCCGCACGCCCCCCCGCCCGGCAGGCTGACCTGGGGCCCGGTCCTCGCGCGGACAGGCTCCCTGCCGCCCTGAGCCTCTCCTTGACCCCTCTCCCCACAGCAACGCTCCACGGTGGCCTCCATGATGCACAGGCAGGAGACGGTGGAGTGCCTGAAGAAGTTCAACGCCCGCAGGAAGCTCAAGGTGAGGCTCGGGCCCCGCACACCGAGTGCCCGTCCCCTCTGGGGCCCCACGCTGGCCTCCGGGGCATCCAAGACAGGCTGCTTGTCAGCAGACCACACATGTCAGGTGGGCCCCATGACCCCCTGACACCAAGCCCAAGGAGCCCACAAGTGGGCCTGGCCTCCAGGGGCACCGCGGGCCCCTCCTCGGCTGCTCACGCTGCCCCGGGAGCCTGCCTGCACTCCTGGGCCTCTGCGTGGCTCTCCCGCCCGGGGCAGGGCAGAGGACGGCTGCCCTGGTGCCTGGGTGGCGGGGGCGGGGGGCGGCCCTGGCCTGCCCTCCCCGAAGGCTGCAGCACGCTGCGCTGGTGCCAGGCGTGGCCTAGCACACGTGGACGTGCCTGTCGGGGCAGGCGGACCCCAGGGGACACCCGGGGCTCCTGAAGCATGTTTCAGGCGCTGGTCGGTGGGCAGCTTAGGGCCCAGGACGCGCACTGTTTTCATTCTGGAAGCAAGCGGCTTGTCCGGGTGCAGCGAGCGAGTCCCTCCAGACACCCCCAGGCCAAGGCCGGGCGGGTGGGGGTGCAGTCCTGGCCGGCGGCGGCCCTGGCCTCAGCCGTGGGTCTCTCCCCAGGGCGCCATCCTCACCACCATGCTGGCCACCCGGAATTTCTCAGGTGAGAACCGCCTCCTCCAGGAAGGCTCAGCGCCCCGCCCCGCGCCCCCTCCGGCCTCGGCCCCGCCCCCTCCGGCCTCGGCCCCGCCCCCGCCGCTGCGGGCCTCCCCTGCCCCGCGGAGGCCGCAGGCACCTGCCCCGCCCCTGCGTGTTGGGTCTCTGTGTCCCCGCCTGACGCCCCAGCTCCGTGTGTCTGTCCGGTGTAGGTCGGCTCCTCTGTGGCCTGTCGTTGTCCTGAAACTTCTGAGCCGCGTCTTGTGTGTGGGAGGTGAGAGGAGGGCCGGGGCCTCTCTGCTGAGCCCCGGAGGTGCCGGCGGCCCCGCCCGGGCGGGCGGGGGTCAGGGCCCCGAGGCCAGAGGCCCCGGCAGGCCCCCAGGGCAGCGTCGCCCAAGTGGGGCTGGCCGCCCATGCCCTGTCCCGCGGTTTGCGTGTGCGGAGTCTGTGGCCCGTCCTCGCTGTGTGTGCGTCCGGCGCCCTCCAGTCCCCCTGCCGTGGGCGGGGCGGCGGGCGGGCCCCTGTCCCACGGGCCAAGGGGGCGTGTCCTGCCCCAGGAGCCTGGGGGCTGCCCAGGAGGAAGGGGGCCGTCCCTTGGTGTCACTTGTCCGCACCTTGTTCTCGTCCTGCTGTGCAAGGGGCTCTGGAACCACTGCCACGTCGGCCTGGACTCTAATCTTCTTCTGCTTCCTTTGTCTCTTCTCTTCCCTCACCTCGCCCCCCACCCGTCTGTGTCCGCTCCTCCCTCGTCTCTAACCGGTGCTAACAGTGGGCAGACAGACCACCGCTCCGGCCACAATGTCCACCGCGGCCTCCGGCGCCCCCGTGGGGCTGGTGGAACAAGGTAGACGCTTCGGGCCCGCGTCCCGCAGTCGGCATGCGGCTCCCCTGGCTGCCCGGCGCCCGGGGCCGCGAGCCCCGCTCCCGCCGTGGACCGTCCCACAGAGCCCCGGGCCCTTGGCCCCGCCTAGCAAAGAAGGGACAGGCTAGGCCACCCCTACCCCGGGCCCCACATATGTGTATTTCACTGAACCCCCCAGTCCCGGCCCCTGAGTCTGGGGGTCGGGAGACCCCTCTGTTCAGAGCCCTTTGCCTCTGAAGGAGGCTCTCTTTCCAGCTGTCCATCCAATGCTCATTCAGAATGACCTTGCCCGTCCACAGCAAGTCTTGGGGCTGCCACGGGGGGTCCCAGTCCTACCTGGGGGCCCCCAGGAGAAGGGCAGAGGCAGAGGCCCTGCCCCTGAGAGCCTGCTGGCCTCCCCGCCCACCCGGACCTGCCCCCCAGCCCCACCGGGAGCCTCAGGCGTGCACAGCCATGCTGAGGCTCCAGGCCGGGGCCTTTGGCTGCCCTGAGAATGGCTTTGAAGGCCTCCTTTTGGTTCTCCCCACGAGGATCCCCTCCCTTTGTCCCAAACCCATGAGGGGGGACCCTGGTTCTGCTAACCTGGTCCCAGGAGGCCCAGGTGAGCTCCCACCTGCCTGCAACCTTGCCCGGACCCTGAGAGGGCTGCTGACCTCAAGAGCTCCCCTGGGCCCGCGGGCCCAGCCCTGGCCAGGGGCCGGGGTGCGGACGTAGGGCGGGCGGTGCCACTGCGGGCCGACCCTGCTGCTGCTGGGCAAAGCCCGTGTCCTCCCAGGCCCAGGCTCAGGCCCTTTCTTGCCCTCGTGCCTGCCCCACTCCCGCCCCCAAGCCCACAGGCTGGGCAGCCCTGCACGCCCGACTGAGGACCCAGCCTCCCTGGCTGCCCCCCCCCCGGCAGCAGGACAGGGCCCGCCGTGGGGGGCAGGGTCTGTGCTCCCCGCCCCCATCCCGTGGGCAGGTCCCGCAGGCAGGCCCCAGAGGGCCGTCCTGAGTCCCTCCCTTTCCGGGCCTTTCTAAAGCACCTGCGGGGAAGGACGGGCAGGGTCAGGGAAGGTGCGGCCAGAGGCTCCCGGTGCAGCCCTGCCGCCAGGCTCAGGGAGAGAGGCGGGCGCCCGAGCTGCTCCCTGCCTGGCCCCCGCCTGCCCCGCCGCCCGCCTGCATGAGGCTGCGTGCATGTGGGCTCTGGGGGCCGCCAGTCCCGAGGGTGGTCAGTGCATGTGGACGGAGCCCAGCATGGCTGTCCCTGGGTGGCCGGTGACAGGGCGAGGCCAAGGCCTGCCCTGCGCGCTGGGGGGCCTCCCCCGTCAGGTCAGCCCTCCTCGGTGGCTGCACCGAGCCCAGCAGACGTGGCGGGGAGGGGGCGTGGCGTGTGTGATGGGCCCCGGGGCCGTAGCTCCTCTGTGGGGGCAGCCGGGTGTCTCCGAGGAGCCGTTGCCGTTGACCGAAGCCCCGGTCAGGTCCCAGGGCGCCTTCCCCCTGAGGGCCTCGGGCCGCTGCAGTGGCAGCGGCCTGGCCTGAGGACCGCCCTGGGAGGAGGGGTGGGCAGAGGGTCTGCACTCGGGCTGCGTGGGCTCCTGCCGGCTCCTGCCGTGTCGCCTCGGGGAGCGTGGCAGCGCCGCCTGTGCCTTTGCCAGCCCAGACAGGACTCAGCCGGCTTTGCAGCTGGGTCTCCAGGAGACGCAGGGGCCAGCAGCTGGGCTGGGGCCGCACGGGGCTGGCTGGGGGGCTGAGGAAAAGCAGAGGTGTGTGCTTGGAGCCCAGGCACTGACCCGTGCGGCCCCAGCAGAACGGCCGGCCTCGGGCAGCGAGGCCTGCAGCCCCGGTCCGTAAAACCGAGAACCGAAGGGGACCCTCTTTAGACCGGGGCCTGAGGCACGGTCCCCAACTGCCTCCCCCGGGGCCTGACCCGGGCAAAGCCTCTTCCCTACCCAAGGGGGAGCCTGGCCTGGGCTGTGTCCCCGCGCTGCTCCTAGCTCGAAGCTGCCGGGAATGCGGTGGCCGGGGCTGTGCGGGGTCAGGGCAGCTCGCCCCCAGCCTGCCCGTCTTAAACCGGAGACCGGGGTCAGCTCGCTTGGCTCGTAGGACACGCGCCTTCAGGGCCGGACGCCTCCCCCTCGGGCACCGCCGACTGCGCGGCCAGCTGGCCGGCCAGCACTGATGGGGCCCCTGGGCTCCGTGACCTCAGATGACTCCCACTTGTGGCGCGGTGGGGCCCACATTGGCGAGGGGCGGGGGAGGGGAGGGGCTGTGGCGGGGAGGCCACATTGGTCCCTGCGGGGCTGTGCTGTCCCTCGTCGTGAGCGGCAGGTTTCCACGTGGCCCCAGGAGCTTCTGGCCCTGGGAGGCCAGAGGCAGGGCGGCCAGGTGCCAGGGCCTGAGCCCAGCCGCCAGGCGTCACCCTTGCAGGGTCTGCGGTCCTCCACTCGCGGGGGTTTGCTGGGGACCGGGCCGGGGCCAGGCTGCTGGGGAAGCGCCGCCCTGTGGGTCCCGGGAGGGATGCTTTTGAGAGCCGACAGGTTTCGGGGGAGTCAGGACACTGTGTTCAGGGCGGCTGCCCGGGTGGCCCAGCAGGCCTCCGACCCAGCAGCCGCCAGGGTCCCCGCACGGAGCCCCGAGGCAGCGCTGAGGACTCGGAGGACGGTGGTCGGCAGGCAGTCCCACTGCCTGGGCCCGGGCTGGTCACTGCACGGGGTTCTGGCCGTGCTTCTTGGGCTGAGTGGCAGCAGGACCCCCAGAGGGCTTGCCGAGCCGGTGCCTGGCCCGGCTTCCTGCCCCCCGAGCAGGGAGGCGGCGGGCGATGCTAACGCTGCTGGCGGAGGGACCCCACGCCTCCCTGGGCCTGAGGTCTGTCTGCTCCACTGGCCAGGGCAGCGGCCTCCAGGGCTGCTCCCAGCAGGGCAGGCTGGCCAGGCCCTCCGGCCGCCCCGTCCCTGGGAGCCAGCAGACCGCAGCTCAGGGCCAGCCCGCCGGAGCCTTTGGAGCCGGCCCGGGGCCCTTGGCGAGGGGCCCTCTGCTGCTTCCCTCACCCGCGCGTGGCCGCTGCTTGCCTGCTGGTGGGCTGGGTGGGCAGGGTGCGCTGGGGATCCTGGGCGCAGGCTCGCTCTCTGCCCGAACTGACGCACGCCTTGTTTTCTCTCTCCCCGCCTCACGCCCTCCCCTCCCCTCCTCACCTTGTCTTGTCGAAGGTAAGCTGGCTTCCTCTTCTTGCAGCTCTGTAACTAACATAGACCTCTGTGGAGGGCGCAGGCGCCAGGGTCCGGGGAACGCGGGGGCGGCAGGTGGGCGGCTCGGAGGGGGAGGCAGGCCCGGCCGCCCCGACCAACGGGGAGGGTCAGGGCAAGTGGCCGTCTGCCCCGTCTGAGCATCAGAGGCTGCAGGTGGCCCTTGGCCCCCCGACACGTGGCATCCTGCTGACCCCCCCAGAGCCTGGCCCTGGGCGGGCGGGCACGGAGGCCGGCCTGGCCCCGGCGGCTGCCAGAGCCAGGCCAAGCAGCAGCCCCACAGGGAAAGGCCGCCCCTCGGGGCTCTGGCTGCGGGGGCAGAGCTCTGAGTCCCGTCTTCTGAGGCAGAGGACAGGCGGCGAGGGCAGGCGGGCACATGGGGTTGGGACAAGCGCCCCCTGTGGGTGGCCAGCGGCAGCCCCACCCCCGCTGCGAACACGGGGACTTGGGACGGACACCCAGCAGCCGCCTGTGTCCCCGCCTGGGGGCGCTGCCTCCCTCCTCTCAGAGCCCCCCCGGCCGCCCGCACGCCGAGGGTCCCGAGTGGGAGGAGAAATTTTGGCGTTCTCAGGAGACGAGGGCCCCCCCCAGGGCCCCCCAGGACAGCCACCCCTCCCTCACCCTCGGGAGGCTCGCGGGCCCCCGGCGGCCGCGCCCTCACAACGCCTGTCTCCCCCCAATGCAGCAGCCAAGAGTCTGCTCAACAAGAAAGCGGATGGAGTCAAGGTGAGTTCTGTCCCCAGGTGCCTGCTGGGGCGGAGCCGGGGAGGCAGGGCCTCGCCCCCTAATGCTCCTCTCTGCCCCCCGCAGCCTCAGACGAACAGCAGCAAGAACAGCGCAGCCGCCACCAGCCCCAAGGGGGCGCTCCCTCCGGCCGCCCTGGTACTGCGCCCCTCGGCCCTCCCTGCCTGGCGTCCGGCGCCCGGCTCTGTGGCGGCCTGGGTGGCGGCGGGCCCGGCTCCCGCCCGTCTCGGATGGATGGAGCTCTTCCGGGGGCTGTGAGGCCAAGATGCAGGACTCAGGGCGCTGCCCTGGGCCGCGCCCGGAGCCCGGGGCCAGGCCTGCGGCGGAGCCGGGGCAGCGGGGCCCTGCTCCAGGCGCCTCGGTCGCCAGCAGATGCTGCCTGGGGGCTGGGCTCTGCTGTCTCTGCAGGAGGAGGGGGGGCTGTCCTTCGGAGCCCCCCACTGGCCTGGAGGGAGGCGGAGCCTCCGTGGTGGTCTCCCATCAAAGTCATCACAGCTGCATCCCGCGGCCCGAGGCCACTCGGGACGCCCGCCTGCGTGGCTGTGCTGACCTGTGGCCGCCCAGAGCCGGGGGCGCAGGGGCCCCTGGCAGGGGAGGGGCCGGCAGGCGCAGGCCGCTGGGCCCACAGCTCGTGGCCTCGCCTGGGGGCTCCCGCCCAGGGAAGCCCCGCAGCCGGTGGTCGTGGCTGTGGCCTGAGTGGAGGCTGGGGTTTGCTGGTCCCAGGGAGTCGTGGCCCCGTCCCTGCTTCCTCCGGGAGCCGCCCCGACTGCCCACGGGCAGGCTGGGCCCCGGGGCGGGGCGGGGGGGGGGAGTCCTGCCGGCAGCCCCGCCCGGGACCCCTCCGTCCCGCGCGCCTCGGCCCCCACCCCCGCGCCATCTTCCAGCCTGGGCCCCCACGCCAGCCCCCCCACCCCGCTTCTCGCCCGCGCCCGGGGCCGCAGCCCCCCGTCGGCCGCGGTCCGGCGCCTCGCCTGCTCCATCCCGCTGACCTGGCCCTGGGCCTCTCCCATCTGCCTCCACCCGCTGCTTGTCCCTGCCTCTCCCTCGCTCCGCTGGGCGCCACCGTCCCTCTCCTCACCGCCCTCCTTCCTTCCTCTGTGCTTCCTTCTTCTGTAGGAGCCTCAAAGCACCGTCATTCATAACCCTGTGGATGGGATCAAGGTACTGCAGCGCCCTCACCCTCCGCGGACCTTCTGCGGGGGCGGGAGGCAGACCCCCAGCCCTGGGGACGGTCTGGGCATGGACCCTCTGAGGGCGGGGGTCGCGCAACCCCTCCCAGGGCAGACGGCCCCCGGAGGCCCCAGCCGCCTGCCTTGCAGGTGTCGCTGCGCCTGCCCACTGGGGACACGGGGGCCGGGCTGCCCTGAGGCCTAGAGCGGGGGCCACAGCTCAGGACCCTCCTGGCTGTCGCCGGCCCTGTCCACTCCGCATGGCAGAGGCCAGGCCTGGCCCGGCCGGGGGCAGCGCGTGCAGGGCCCTGTTCCCAGGATCCCAGGGCAGAAGGGCCCGGGGGTGGGGGCAGCACAGACCTGTGACCTCGCCCACCCGTCCTTCCCCTGCTGCCTGGTGCTTCCGGCTGCGCTGGCCCCTCCTCTGCACCTCTCCGCTCTGCACCTGCTCGCCGCAGCTGCGGCATTGCTGGGGCGGGGGGGGGAGGGGTATGGGCGGGTGGCCTGGGTGCTTCTAGGACCAGCACCCCCACCCGAGCCCAGGCCTGCAGCTGGGCTCCCCCGAGCCGCGGGCTGAGACCTGGGGACTGGGGCCATGGTCCCCCGGCCTCTCGGCTGTCCCGGACCCAGGGTGCTACCGAGGGCCTGGCTGTTTCCCCGCCTGACCCCGTCTCTGGCCCAAGGCTCCCGTTTCTCTGGCGAGCAGCCTCTGGGGCTGTGCCGCAAGCTCTGATCCCCCGGCAGATAGACCCCAGCGGGCCCCGGGCCCAGGGCAGCGGGTGCTGCCAGGGCCAGGGCCTGTCCCTCGGGGGCCCCGCTGAGCTATTCCTTACCGGGAGTCGGCAACGACGGCTGGCACCTGGTTTTCGTATGAAGGGCAACAAGCCACGAGTGGGATGGGAGGTGCTGGGCTGTGTCCTGTGCTCCGAGGCCCCTGGAGCGGTGGGGCCAGGCCCGCCTGGATGGCACCGGCCAGCGAGGGGCGTGCACCGCGCTCGGGGAGGAGGCCTGGGCGCAGCTGCACTCTGCCTAGGGCCCCCGGGTTCCAAGGACCTGCCGGTGGCGTCCGGCCCACCTGGGGCTGCCTTTCCCTCTCGCCGGGGGGCCCTGGAATTTCGTAAAGCCTCAGTTTCCCCTGTTGTCAGAGAGAGTCACCCGAGCACACAGTCTTCCCACCCAGCACGTGTGCTGGCTGTAGGCAGGTGGGAAGCGGGACCTGGGGGCCAGGCAAAGCTCCAGCTCCCTGTGGGTGCTGGGGCCCTGCAAGCGCCTCCCAGGCCTCCGATCCCCAGGCCCGCGGGCGGTTCTGACCCGCTTCCGCCCTGTGTCTCCCCAGGAGTCGTCCGACAGCACCCACACCACCATAGAGGACGAGGACACAAAAGGTACGGGGTGGCCCGCCCCCGCAGGGGTACGGCGGGGGTCTCCGTGTCAGGGTCTGTGACTCGGGTGCATCCGTGGGACCTGCCCTGCACAGCCTGCCAGGCCGGCGCCCTGACCAGCCAGGGGGCTGCTGCCCTTTGCACTCTGCCCCGGTGCCCCCACTCCCGCCGGGGTCCAGGCGCTCCGTCCCCACAGGAGAAATGAGGTCATGTTTGCATTTGCTCAGTTTCGGCTCTTCAAGTTCCTTCCTGTCGTGACCGGCCGGCCGGCAGCCAAGTGGACGGCAGCCGGGGGCCTTTCCTGGGTTCTGGGTGTTTCTGTGGCCTCGATGTGGGTGAGCGGGGATCTGGTGCCCACGTCCTCAGCCCAGGAGGCCGTGCCAGACGCTCTGGTCACACAGCAGCACCCCAGGACTGCCCAGGGCACCGCGGCGACCACCCTGCCGTCCTGGGGACAAAGGCCAGACCCAGTGGCCCTGAGCGTCCCCATATACCCTGGAGCGGTGGCGAGCACAGGACTTAGACGGGGGACATGGGGCGTGAGTGTGGTCTCCCCAGACTGAAACAGGCCGGAGCCGCCAGCTTGGGGTCGCCTCCCTGCCCTGGGCTCCCGGGGACGTCAGACCCGGGCCTGCAAGGACGGCAGGGGACCGTGGGGGGGGACCGGCAGGCAGCCCCCGCCTGGGCCGGCCTTGCATGTCTGCTGTGACTAGATGGCCCTGGGCACGTGTTGGGGCGACGCTGCCCCCCAGGGACCCCTGGACCCCACCGCATGGCCTTGGGTGGCCAAGAGCTGTGCCACAGGTCTGGGGGTCTCCAGCGTCACCGCCACCTTCTTTCCCCTGCCCTTTCCCCACTGCGCTCCCCGTCCGCCTGCGTCCTGGGCACATCCTGTCTGTGTGCCCAGCCCCCGGGGTCCCTGACACCCTGAGCTCCGGCAGGAGGGGCTCGGGGGCCCCGGAAGCCGAGGGCCCCGCCCGGCCCGTGTAAGCAGTGTGGCCCCCTGCGCCCGCTGTGCTCTGCCGAGTGTCCGGGCAGGGGCCTCTCTGGCACCGCGGCCCTGCCTCCCGCTGGCCCCCAACCTCGCACGTGTCTCGCACGCGTGCTGCTGCTCAGCCGGGCCCCAGGCAGCGGCTGAGGCCGATGGACGGTCCTCCCTGCCTCCCTGCCTCCCTCAGGCCGTCTGCTGCAGCCTCTGTGGTCCCGCGGGCTCTTCACGACGGCCCTGCCCCTGTCCGGCCGCAGGCCCGTGGGCTTAAAGGGGCAGGAAGGCCTGACCCCCGCCCCGCAGGCTGTCCCCACGGCTGACAGGCCTCGGCCGTGCGCTCTGCCCCCCTGGGCCGGCGCCCCTCCTCGCCTGGCGCCCTCTGCGCAAAGCAGCTCCCCCCACGTGCCCTTCTGCCCCCTCATCCCCCCCCACATCCCCCCCCTCACCCCCCCCCACATCCCCCGTGACTGTCTCTACCTGCCCATGACTCCCAGTGTCCCCCGTTTCCTCCACGGTCCCTTCCACCCCCCATGACCCCTCCATCTCCCGACCCCTGTTCCTCCTCCTTCCCCCCGGACCCTCTCTGTCTCCCCGAGTCCCCTCATGTCCCCTCTGCGCAGCACTGCCTTGCTTGGCCGTCAGCCTGTAGGTTTCCTCGCCTGCACCCACCCCGCCTGCCTCATGTTCACGTCTGTTCTGTTCCACCCCAGCCCCCAGGATCTCTGACACCCTGAGCTCAGTGAGGAGGGGCTCGGGGACCCCAGAAGCCCAGGGCCCCCCACCCTGCCTGTCTCCGGCTCTCCCAGGCCCCCCACCCGCCCCGTGTAAGTAGCACCGGGAGTGGCCCTCGGGGGGTCGGACTTAGCCGCAGGGCCCTGCCCCGCTCTGGAAGGGACGGCGGGGCACACGGAGAGGTGCCTGTGGCTGAAGACATGGGGGTGAACACATGCGTGTCAGACAGGAACCCGAGCACAGGCCCGGGTGGTCAGGGCCGGACCCCCTCAGGACAGCGCAGTGCGGCGGCTCGAGGAGCCGGCCAGGCGGGCTGCCGCTGGGGTCCGGCTGGCGGGGTCCGGCGTGGAAGGGCCTTGCAGGGCGGCGCTGCCCCACGCGAGGGGAGGTCGGCCTGCGCGGAGAGGGGCCGGAAGGGGAGGCCCCGCGGGCTGGAGCTGCCCCCACCCCGGGCGGGGAGGAGCCGAGCTGCCCCAGCCTGTCTGCCGGCCGCCAGTATCGCTTACAGGGATGGATGACACCCCAGGCCGGCTGCCCCCGCCGCCGCCGGGGAGGCTCAGGGCTCTCAGAGCAGAGGCTGCCGGGCCCGGGGCCGGGCATGGCGGGGGAGTGGCTGGGTGAGTGCTGACCCCTGCCCACCCCCTGCAGGCCAGGTGGGGGGCGGGGAGCGGGGAGCAGCGCGATGCATGGGAGCGGCTGCAGGCCCGTGGGTTCTCGGGGAGCGGCCCTGGGGGGAGCCGAGGACCTGCCGAGAGCACCCTGTGCTCAGCGCGAGGGGCCGGGGCCGAGGGCGGCCGCTGGCCCCCGGCCTGGCGGCGGGGGTTAGAGGGGGGCTGTGGCGGTGGCACTGGGATCCGGCTGGTCGTAGAGCTGGGGTGACGCCGTGGTGGGCGCACAGCGGGCCCTGGGGGGGTCGGAACCCCGTTTGTACAGCGTGTTGTCTGAGTTCAGAGGCTCCGCACCCCATCCCCCAGGCCCCCGGGCCCTCACCTGGGGCTTGGAGGCCGGGAGGGGCCCCTTGGGGTCGGCACTGCAGCCTGCGCGGGGGCTCAGCACAGCTCTGCCTATTTAGGGGTCTGCCCTGAGCGTGGCTAAGGGGGGGCTGCAGGAGGGCTGTGAGCAGAGTCAAGTGGGGGGACAGGGTCTGGGGCAGCAGACAGGACCTGGCCTGCGGGGATGGGGGTGGGGCCGAGGGGCGCTGAGGGCAAGGACCGCCCCAGCTGGGCGCTCTCAGGGGATGAGGCCTTTGCTCCTGGGGGTGCCCCACCTGAGCCCCAACACCCCAGCAGCCTGTGTGCAGGGAATCCCCAGGTGACAGCGAGGTGGGTGGCCTGGGGGAGGCACTGCCCAGGGCTGGAGCCTGTTTTCTGTGGGTCTGAGCAGGTGCGTGCCAGGCCCGGATGCCCCCCTCCACCTTGGGGACCAGGGTCCGCCTGTCCAGCACCAAGGCCCAGGCACAGGGGTCGTCCCAGGGCGGGCCATGGGCCCCTCCTTTCTCAAGCGTGTGCCCGCCAGCTGCCTCAGTGCGTAACGGGGCCGGTGCCCGCCAGTCCGGCCGAGCCCCCGTGGTCGGGGAGGACACGCAGTCCAGCCTGACCCTGTGCAGCTGTCTGGGGGCGGCCGGAGAGCCCCTGGCACCTGACAAACGCCAAGGGATAGGGTTGGTGGCAGCAAAGAGGCACCAGGTCTCCCCAGACCCTGTGCCCGAGCCGGGCCTCCCCGCGCGGGGCTCCGATGCCGCCCGGGGGCGGGGCGTGTGCGTGGGGCGGGGCAGCTGCCGCCCCCTGGACCTGAGACGTCTAGGCTTGTGCCGGCAGCCTGGAAACCCCCTTCTGTTTACTTTGTACTTTCTCTTCACACCCACCCCCGTTTTTCATTACAATTTATTTAAGAACACTCAATATTTCATCCTTACATAGAAGATTGGGTTCACGTACAGTATAGGGTGACTGTAAAATCAAAGTGCACTGAGAACAAAACAGGAAAAGTGTCCCCCGGCTCCAGCTGTGCAGCCGTCAGTCCTGTGGGGTGGGGGCAGCTCCTGTCCCCTGAGAAGAAGGGGGGCGAGCAGCATCGGGTCGGGGGTGGGGGCTCCTGAGCAGGGGCTGGACTCGGTCCTGGCAAGGGGCACCCTGGGCAGGACCCAGCCGGGGCTGCGATGCTGGCAGGGAGGTGGCCGGGCCACACTGGGCGGGCGGGGGACACTTGGCTGCAGTTGGAGGAGAAGGAAGCCAGCAGCTGGTCACCACCTCCGCCGAGGTGACAGGTGAACCGAGAGGGGACAGAGGGGGCACCGGAGGAGGGAGTCTGCTCAGAATTGGAGACGGCCCAGGCAGAGGCCAGCGAGGTGGGCGGGCTGCTGGGGACACACTGCGACCCTGGGGCCTCCTGCGTGGCGCCCAGGGGCGACTGGGACAGAGCTGTGCAGGTGGTCCCGGGGCCGGGGTGCTGGAGCCCGCGGCCACCCCTACAGGCTACCTCCGGGGCCAGCCAGGCAGGTGGGCTCCTGCGGTGACAACCCCGAGCCCAGCCCTGCCGGCGTCTGGACACAAGTCTGGCAGCGAAGCCCAACAGGCAGCAGCAGAGGCGCAGCGGCCCAGAGAGGGGCCCACGCGCTTACAGGCCGGAGCGGACACACACACTCAGAGGCACACCCACCTGACAGAGCACGCACGCACGGACGTGTACACATTCCCACGTGACCCACGCACGTCTGCACCCAACCCCTCGGGGGCCACAGCCTCCCGGGCTCACACGCAGCCCGAAGCATCTGCTGCTGTGCACTTGGCCCCCCTCCAGGTGGTGCTGGGGGGCGGGAGTGCCCATCTAGCCCAGTGCTGCCGGGAGGTGCACAGGCAGCCAGCAGGGCCTGCAGCGCACGCTTCTGGGTGCTAAGTGCTTGGGGCTGTGAGCCCACGGATCGACGCACGTGTGTGCCACTCCCGCGAGCCGAAGTGGAGACCGGTGGGTGCCCGTCCCACATGGCGGCCGCGCAGAGAACCGTGGTCCCAAGTGCCACTGGGAAAAGGGGGGCTTGTGTGCACAGATGCGTGGCTGGGGCAGCCTCAACCTGAGGGTCAGGGGGAGAGGCCTGGGGACCCTGTCTTCAGGCCACTTGGGTCTGTGTTGGCCACTGGCACCTACCTCATTGCTTTAAGATATCCCCACAGTGTGTGCCTGCGTGTACATGTGTGTATTTTGAGGGTGAGTGTGTATGCATTCAGGCACATCTGTGAGGGGAACTGGCCCCGGACCCTCCCTGGCACCTGCAGCTATGCAAGGTTTTATTTGAAACGTCCAGAGCAAGTAAGATAATGCTCAGACTTGAGTCCGCAGAGTGTGGGCTGAATTATCCTCTCTGCTTCCTTGTGTTTAAGATTTTTTGCATGAAAATGAGTTGTGCTTGGAGACAAAGGGCCCCAGGCGACCACCATGGGGGCCAGGCCTGTGTAGGGCTGGGGGACAGGGAGGGCTGGACGGGCCGGGCGGCGGTGTGCGGGCTGGCACCTGGGCTCGGGACCACAGGCAGGCGGAGACCGAGGGAGGTGAAGGCCAACACCTGGTCCGGGGGCCTCCAGGGGGCGGGGGGCTGAGGCCCACGCACTGCCCTCCGCTCTGCCTGGCCCCTCACCCCTGCTCCTGGCCTTTAGGCAGAGGCCTCATGGGAGCCCCCAGCCCACCCCTGCTGTGCGAGCCGGCCCTGCACAGTCCCCACAGGGGGAAGGAATGGTCGGGTTTGGGGAGGACCCGCAGGCCGGAGCCCTGAAGGCACGTCGCAGAGCGCAGCTGAGGAGGCCCGGGGTGGCTGCCCAGGGGGCGGGGGGCCCAGGTCAGGGGCTGGGTGCTGGCCGACGCCGTTCCCCCTTTCTGCATTTTTGAGACACATTGTGCCATGGATGGAATTTTCTATTATTTAAGACGTTTCCTTTATGACAGACATGGGAGGAGACTGTGGGACTTGGAAACGTGGAAGCCGTGGTGGCCTGGAGGGCATGGGCTGAGCTGGACAGTTGGGGTGCCCGGCCTCGGGGTCCTCCTGGAGAGGAGAGGCGGGAGGGGCCGGGGCTGCGTGGGGCCCGAGGGTCACTGGGCCTGTGTCCTTACAGCGCGGAAGCAGGAGATCATCAAGATCACTGAGCAGCTCATTGAGGCTGTGAACAATGGCGACTTCGAGGCCTACGCGTGAGTCGGGGCCTGTGTGGGTCCTGCGGTCCCCTGGGTGGGCTCTGAAGAGGGGTCTGGACGCCCTGGGCGGGTGCAGAGGGGCCCCTCCTCACCTGGGTCTGCCCCCCAGGAAAATCTGCGACCCAGGCCTGACCTCATTTGAGCCTGAAGCTTTGGGCAACCTGGTCGAAGGGATGGATTTTCACAGGTTCTACTTCGAGAACTGTGAGTGAGGGGGCTGGGGCGGGGGTGTGGAGGGCAGTCGGGAGCCCCGGGAAGCCTCCCCCAGTCCCCGTGCCCGGAGCCCCAGGCCGCACAGCCACGGACCCGGCCCGGGAGGGCGCGCGGCGGCCCAGGCGTGAGTGGCCGCTGCAGGGCTGAGCCGTGGCCCGTCTGTGCGCAGTGCTCGCCAAAAACAGCAAGCCGATCCACACGACCATCTTGAACCCGCACGTGCACGTCATCGGGGAGGACGCCGCCTGCATCGCCTACATCCGCCTCACGCAGTACATCGACGGCCAGGGCCGGCCCCGCACCAGCCAGTCCGAGGAAACCCGCGTGTGGCACCGCCGCGACGGCAAGTGGCAGAACGTGCACTTCCACTGCTCGGGCGCGCCCGTAGCTCCGCTGCAGTGAAGGTGAGCGGCGCGGGGGGCGGGGCCGCGGGGCGGGGCGGGGCCGCGGGCGGGCGGGGCGGGGCCGCGCGCGGCGCGCGGGAGCTGACTCCGCCCCCGCCGTTCCAGAGCCCGACGGATCGCGTTCGGCGCGCAGCCGCCCTGGCGCACGGCCTGCCTGTCGCATGTTTGTGTCTGCCTCTTCCTCCCCGGTGCCTGTGTCTGCAGAAAACCAAGACCAGATGTGATTTCTTTTTAAAAACAAGATGACAGCAACAACCACACACACACACACACACACACACACACACGATGTCGGATGAAATGGGAAACAAACTAAACAAAGGAAAAAGCTGTAAAAATGACTGGCATTTGTGGGGCCTCGAAACTACTGGCCATTCCCCACCCGAGCTCCACTCGTCCGTCCGCTCCCGGCCTCCGACCGCCGCGGGCGGTGACCTTGTCCACAGGGCGGCGCCCGGGGCCCTGGCCTGTTGCTTCCGCGGGACCCACCCCTGCCCTGTTCGCGGCAGGGGGAGGGGTGTCCGGCGTCGTCGGGCGCTGCGGGCCGCGGGCCTGAGCGCAGCCGCTCCCTCTGCTGCTTCTCCCTCCCTCCCCAAACCGAGAAGGCAGGCGTGGGCCCCTCCCTTGCGGCGCTCCGGTGCCCACGCGGACGGCGGTGCAGAGGCCGGGCGGGGTCCCCGGAGGACGGGTCGTGAGAGGAGCCCCCGAGGGCCCAGGGCCCGGGCTCTGGGCCTCCCAGGGGCAGGAGAGGCAGATGGGCACACCCGGCGCCTGGCGCAGGCCGGCTTGGCTGCAGCCCTGTGGGGAGGGACCCCTGGGCCGGCCCCTCCCAACACAGGGGCAGGGCTCGAGGGCCCCGCAGGGCTTGGCGCTGACTCAGGAAGGAGGGGCGTAAGGGACCGCAGCTCCGGGCCCCTGGCCGCGGCGGGGTCCAGGCCCCTGGCAGTGCTTTGGGAGGGCAGGGCAGGGCAGGGCCGGCCACGTCGCCAGGCATCAGGAGGCTGCGGTGTGTGACAGGGACCCTGAGCGGGGGAGGTGCAGGGCTCCGCTCAGAGAGGCTCCGTGAGGCTCAGGGACGGCGGCAGAGAGCAGCCAGGGGTGCGGGGCAGGTCTGATCGGGCCTGGCCACGGAGGTGTGGGACCCTTGAATTCCCGTTCTTTTCAACAAGGATTCTTTTCATCTTCCCTCACAAGTCAAGGGGGGGCGGGGGCGGGGACACGGACACAGAGTCAGGATGGGACGCAGCACCTGTTCTCCAAGGAGACTCTCCGTTGTCAGACACTGAGAGTGGACAGTCTCCTGCCCGTCCACAGCTGTGCTCAGGACCGCTGTTCCCACCCGTGGACACAGGGCGAACACCTGCCCGCTCCCCGGGTGTGGGCAGCGCGCAGCAGGGCTCGCCACGGACAGCATGTGGCCTGGCCACCTTCACCCCCTGGGGCCTCGTCCCGCCTCCCCTACCCCCTTATCTCCACAGAGCTGCCTGTCTGGGTTAATTTGGGGACTTTTTTCGGGGGATAGTTCTTTTGCATGACCCCCATGAGCAAGCCACACCCGCTCTTCTAGCTGGATGTCCGCGGTGTGGCCTCGCCGGCCCGCCCTGCAGAGGGCCGGCCGCCGCAGCGCTGGCCGGCTTTCCTCCTCTCTCTTTTTGCTGAGTTTCATTGTCTTTTCTTTCTGAGCCTTGTAAGTGTACAAAAAATTATTTTGTTCTGTCTCGGGAAACTGCAAATAAAAGAAAAACAGGACAAACTGCTTCCCGCGCAGCTGGGTGCTTTGTGCCGGGACCTGCCCCCCACGCCCAGGCCCGGCCCGCGGGCGCCCGCGGAGGCTGAGTGCGGGCGGCCTGGCCCCGGCCGCGCGGAGAGCCCGCCCAGGCCCCCTGTGCCGCCACAGCCACAGCTCCAACCGCTGCTGCCCCCGAGCCCCCAGCGCTCTAGTCGCCCTGTCGCCTCCGAAGTGCGGCTGGAGGGCAGCTCCTGGGGGAGGGGCCCCAGGACCGGGCTCCGCTGTCCTGCCGAGTTGCTCCTTCCACCCACCCTGCCGCCTCCACCTTTTCTCGCTGCCGGCGCCACCCTAGTCTGCGCGCGTGAGCCCACGTGCTGGGAAGTGCAGGCGGCACGCAGGCCTGACCCGTGTCAGACGCCGACGTCACGCGCAGCGCGGCGGTGGCTGCTGGGATGCCAAGACGAAACCGCCGGCAATGACAATGGGGTCCCACCGGGCTTCTCAGGGAGGCCCGGATGACAGGACCCCCCCAGCAGAGATCTGTGGGCGCTGATCAGAGAGAGAGGCCAGGTACTGAGCCTGAGGCGGCTGGACGGAGGGCGGGAGCGCGTGAGGGCTGGGGTGCAGGCTGGGCCCTCCCCTGGGCCTCCCTGCGCAGTGCGCCCGCGTGCGCTCTCCTGTCCTGGGGCTCTGCCCCACCGTCGGTGCCCTGGCCTGTTCCTCAGAGTGGACGTGTCACCCAGCTGTAGCCCTGCAGCACAGGGACACACAGCGTGCTGGGACCTCCCTCGGGAACGGCCACCCTTGGCCTGTGCGGCTGTTGGCGCTGACCGGCCACCTGAGCACTTGGCTAGGGCCTGAGGAGTCCATCTGCCCACGTGGCTGCACGCAGGGCCCCGCTACAGGCCTCTTGGCCCGCCTCCCTCCCAGACACGCCCTCACTTCGAGGTGGGTGGCTCCCCCAGGCCCCCTGGCCCGCCCCACCCCCGACCCCAGCGGCTGTCCGTCTGCACTTTGTCACATGCTTTCCTGGGACAGAAGCACAGGCTTCAAACCCATCCTGGACACGCTGTGCCCAGCCCAGGGGCCGACAGGCAGACGACGCAGGCACCCCAGCCTGGGCCGCTTCCTCCGGCTCCCGCTCCTGGCGGCAGGCACCTCACCCAGGCCAGGAGGCCCTAGACACCGGCGTCTCAGCGCCGGAGAGAGGCACCGGGCAGGCGTTCTCAGGTGTGTCGGCAGGAGGGCAGCTGCGCCTGGCGGCAGCGGCTCAGGGCTCACAAGCTGGCCCAGGAGAATGTAGGGCAGAGCCGGAGCGCCGAGTCGCGGCAGAGTGTCTCCTAGACCCAGGCCTATCAGCTGTAATCAGAGGCACTGTCCAGGCCGGGCCTCCCTGGGATCCGGATCCCTGATGGGCCATCCCTCACCCTGGCGCGTGCGGGGCAGGCCCACAGGCAGAGCCAGGCACCACGGGCAGCGGGAGGTCCGCGAGGGCCTTCGCCCCTCGTGAGCAGGGCCTGCTCCGGGCATAGCCCCCCAGGCCACAGCCGGGGGGGCCAGCTCAGCCCTGCCGGCGCCCGGGACTGCTCCTGAGCCCCACAGTGGTGGCGAGCCGAGCGCAGGGCCCTGGGCCAGCGACAGCCTGGCTGCCAAGTCTCTGCAGAGGCCCACTGCCCAGCTGCCCAGCTTGTTGCCTGAACGAGGGCCGACCCCCCAGCCCGCCCACCTGCAGGGCCTGGCTCCCGCTGGGCCTGGGGGGGTGGTGAGAAGGGGGAGGAGTCACGGCCTGGGCCCCCACGTCTGCAAAGCAGCGTGCACAGCAGAGGGGGACTCCCTGAAGGGGCCCCCTGAGGCTTAAAGCACAGGACCATTTTGGAATTTCAAAAGACAACTTTATCCAGACAGACACCTCTCACACACAGAAAAGTTAGGCAGCAGTTATTAAAATACACTCTCAGCCAGATGACTTGATGTTAGAATGACACAACAGGGGACAAGCTGGCACAGGGCCTGGCCCCACCCACAGCCTGAGCTGCCCAAGCGGGGTCACAGCCACCCCGGGGGCCAGCGCGCAGGACGGCTCCGTGCCTCCCGGGGCCTGTGCGGCAGGGGCGGAACCGCGTGGCCAGGCAGGCAGCAGAGGTGGGTGGGCCTGCGGCGCCCGGGGCGGGGCCACCGGCAGGGAACTGGGCCAGGCCCCGCGTTCTGGCCCAAGCGAGAGGTTCCAGGGCTGCGGGCACCTCCTGTTGGAGTGGAACCTTCAGGTCAGGCAGGAACCAGCACACGTGGGGGAGGCCCTGTGGACAGAGCCACACCAGCGACCGCCGGGCAGCGGCCCCCGTGGGGCCCAGGCTCGAGGGCGCACCTTGTCCTCAGGGGACACACGGGGCAGGAGGCGGCAGTGCTGGACGGGGTGGGTGGAGGGTCGCCGGGGCTCCTGCTGCAGGGGGTCAGGTGGGGGGTGGGCGGAGATGGGCCTCTGACCACAGCGGGGGCGTCAGGAGCCCTTGCGCTGGCTGGCACCTACGCTTGGTGCTCAGTAACAGCGGCCACAGGAAGCGCCACTTGCTAAGACACGCAGACCGCAGGTGGCTGCCAAAACAGGCTCGTCACCGGAGGCACACACTTGTGACCCTGACGTTCAAGGTCGGTCTGTAGGTCAGGTGTCCTGCCCCCTCCAAAGGCCTCCGAGGCCCCTCCGTGGGACTCTGCAGACGTCCACCTCAGCAGAAACGCAACCGCGTCGCAGAACGAGGCCCAGTGGCCGTCTCACCACATCCCCCGCCCTGCAGTGACGCTGGCGGCCTCCCCGGGAGAACCAGGTGTGCGCGCTGCCCGCCACCCCGCCCTGGGCGTCGGGAACCCCTCACTGAAGTGTTAACACAGTTAATGTACAAGTGAGACCCAGAGGCTGCTGAGGACAGCAGAGCTGGCCCCGCCCCCGGGGCCGTCCGGCAGAAACGGCCCCTCAGCCTCCGCAGGGGTCCAGAGTGTTTATCGTAGCATTTGGCCCAAAAATACACCTCTGGGCGCCTCCAGTTATGTTTGCAGAAATTACGAGACACGTGAACTTGAACATTCCCCGCCCCAGGTCCCTTCCACCAGCCCTCGGCTCCGTCCGGGAGCCCAAAGCGGGCGATGAGGTTTTGCGCGTCGGTCTTCCTGTGGCCTCCAAGGTTCTTGGGGGCTGCAGTTCGGATGCGAATGGCGGGGACTTTGCAGTGAGGGGGCCCCTGCGGGCTGCGGTCACATGACTGCACAGCACGAGTTTTGCTTCCGGGCCTAGAAAAGAACAAAGAGGAGCTGAAGCAGGGCCGAGGCGGTGGTGACCCGGACACACCAGTGGACCGGAGCGCTGAGCGGGACAGAGGGCTGGAGGCGGTCCCTCCTCAGCGTCGCCCAGGCAGCCGTCTGCAGGCCATGCCCTCCTCCCCAGTTCCTGCTACCAGGAAGTTGCTGGACACAAAAACAGGAATGGACATCGGCTGCCCACTGTTCCCACACAAGGCCAGTCAGCCCTGGTTCCTGGGTCCTGTTCCGATTCCTCAACCCCAAGGGCCACCGCCCCCATGATCCCCACCCCCAGCCGCGGCGGGCAGCCTGGAACCAGCAGCGGCTCAAGCCTCTGCTCCTGCCGCCGCCAGGGGCCTGGGGCCCAGGGCCGCCGCGCACCCACCGTTTTGTAGAAGGCTTTGGAGTGAATCCCCAGCACTTCGGACTTGGACACCAGGTCATCTATCTTCTCACCTCGTTCCAACAAGGACTCCATGGTGTTGTGCTGCACAGAGGAGAGGGGGCGACGTCTGCTCCGTCCACAGCGCGTGGCCGTGAGCCCGCCCATGTGTCGTGGGGAGCACCGCCGCCAGGCCCGCCCCCACACACGCGCACCCTGGCTCAGCCCGACCTGGGCCGGTGGCTGGGCCTAGGGACCTTCCCATGGACCCAGGAGCTTCTGACCAGCACTGAGTGCATCTCCCCAGCCTGCGCAGCACAGGCGTGGACAACCGCGCCAGGAGGGGCCTCCCCGTCCTGACTAGCCTGCGTGAGCACCTTCGCTCTCAGGAGCTATGAACACACAGGTCCACCTCCAAGAGGCAAAGGGCCTGCGGCCCTACTGCCAGCCTGTGTCACCCCAGGCGGCCACCGCAAGAGCCGACGCCAGACCCTCTGAACCTGAGTTCACACACGCGAGAAGGCATGGAGTAAGGAAGGAACACAGCGTTCCTGTCTCCGCACTGGCCCGGCCACTCGGATTTCTGCCCAAAGTAACTGGACTCAGTTACGGGTGGAACGAAGGCAGCGTGGCCACTGCGGCCAGAACAAGGCTGGGCGACCACAGCCCGGTGGCCAGGCCCAGCGCAGGAGCGGGCAGTGCCCACCAGCCTGAGGCCCCCCCAGCTCCGAAGCCGCAGCAGCAGCAGGCGGGGCTTGGTTACGAAGGACAGAGAGCACCTGAACTCTCACACCCAGGTCTCATCCCAAAACCGCGTTATCCAAGCACGGGCCCGGGAGCCAGGAGAGCTTCGCTGCAGGGCACGGTCTGTCAGGGCTTCCTGTCTGGTTGCTCGGGGTCCACCGACTGCCAGGCACCGCTGTCAGCGAGCGGGCTGTGAGCAGGGACGAAGAGATGGGGACGAGCTCCCCCACTGGCAGGGAGACCTGGAACTAGCAGGGCCGAGGCGGTGACGTTCAGAAAGGGCCTGGAGTTGCCTCCATGGACCTGCGAGGCCTGAGCGTGGGGACCTTCCTGGGAGGGGTGGGGATCACAAGACGTGTCTGGGAGCCTATTCTTTCTCCTGGAGCCGATTCCCAAGCTGCTGAAGGACTTTAAGAAGTGTGGCAGCTCGGTGGCTGCGATGGTTGTAAACCAGGGGATCTCAGGTGAAAACATGGGGTTCCCAACACCTCTGTGCTCTCAGCACCCAGGGCCCACGGGGAGGTGCCTGCCCGCTCTGAAGCAGGTGCAGGGGGCTCAAGGGCTGCTGGGGCAGAACTACTAAACTGACCATCCCCAGCCGGGAACCACCCATGAAATGGGGACGGAAAAGGTCCAGACTGGCTCCCAGCTTCATCCCTTGTGCAGCCGGTGCCACGCACGGGGTGAGGAGGGGCAGCCTGGGGCCGTCTGGCCTCGAGGCCTCTGAAGCCTGGAGAGAGGCAGGCCGTCCCCGCCTGGGAAGGCGCTCTGGCTACCACTGCGGCTGCGTGCCAGGCCCCTGCCCGGGCCCCCCTTACCAGAATGATCTTGGTCTCGTCCAGTTCTGCCTGCACCTTACTCATGGGGTCGGCTTCTCGGGGATTCTAGGGAAGAGGAGCCGGAAACAAACATGTCAGGGCTGGAGAAGCCGCCTGGAAACAAGCCCACCCAAGCGAGCGGGACACCCTTTCACACTCTGCCACGTAAAGCCACGGGACAGAGAAGCAGCAGCGCGCCCGGGGGCCCAGGCTCTCGGTCCTCATGTGGCGCCCGCATTTTCCACAGAGACAGAGACTTCCAGGCTGTCAGAACGGCCCCCAGGAGCCACCTCACCTGGTATGTGCTCAGGTAGCCGTCCAGGGCTGCGTAGCTGATGGTAGAAGGGGATCCGACCGGCCACTCACTCCTGTCAACCTGCCTGGAGAAATCGTCCAGCACCTGCAAGGCAAAGGAGCTCAGCGACGCCGCTCTGCACGCCACGCCCACGGCAGCAGGACCTGGCCCCGAAGAGGCGCTCAGGCCAAGGGCGGGCCGGGTGGACGGCCAACACAGGCAGAAGCCCCGACGCAGGTTCCCCCTCCCAAGCACGCTGGGCCCTCAAAGCCACGTGTGCCCAGCCTCAGACAAACCTCGACTGGTGAGGACAAGAGCATGCGAGTTCTAAACTACACGTTGAGCTTCTATTTAGGTTACGAACTCCCAGGAATGAGAGTACGCGTCCTACTCTTCCAACCAATTCTTCAAAAAGGAAAAATCTAAGCCGTCGGCAAACTCCCTGTGCTCCTACGTGTGCCAGTCCTTTGGGGGACAAGACACGGCCGTGTCTTGGAGGACCCTGTAACTAGCGGCCCACGAGGACAGACGCCCACAGCAGGGGTGGGCGCCACCAGCACTGCCGCAGGGGTCAGGAGAGCCCAGGGGTGCACGGGGGTCTCGGTGTGGGAGCGGGGCAGAGGCCGGGTGGCACTGGAGTCAGGTGCGGCTCAGGAGGAAACGGGGCCACACAGGGTAAGAGCTCGGCCACCGCCGGCCGGCCCTAGAACTGTGACCCAGAGGGGGGATGCAGTCACTGAATGGGTAGACCTGGGGCCCTGGGGCGCGAGCCTGGACAGAGGGCAGGAATCAGGGCCCCGCGGGGCAGCCGGGGAGGGCAGGGAGCAAGCTGACCAGGGGCCCCTCCCCCAAGGCCTCGGGCACGGTCGCACCCCCCCCCACCCCCCCCTCCCCGGTCCCAGGGCAGCCGACTGCAGACTCACCTTCTCCAGCAAGGTGAAGGCCACCCGGGATGGGTACTCGCTGTCAGCGATGACCACACCCGCGAGACCGTCGTTGCGCACGTAGACGTGGCACAGGTAGTCTGAGGAGACACACGAGGGCGGGAGGACTTTAGACCCTTCACCCCCAATCCAAGTGTCACCGCGCTGGGCTCTTGCCTTTTGGGCCAAGGAAGCTACTCTGCAGGCCGGCCGCGGGACTGGACGCCCACAGGACAGCGCGTGGGAGCTCGGCCATGGGCTTGGCCCAACAGCTGCTTTAGGGCGAGGAGATGCCCCAGGCCTGGCGTGCAGAGCCAGGGACGGAGGCCCCGTGTCCGGATGCAGCCCCAAGCTCTGGGCCAGGGCTGGCAGCGTCTCAGGGAGCAGCAGCCCCCCAAGGCTCTGCTCCCAAACGGAGGAAGCCGTGGGAAGCAAAATAGCCCCACGCCCTTTAAAAGCCCTGTGAGGGCAGCCCCCCATCAGGGAATCGGCTCTCCGGGCCCCAGGTGGCTGGCTCCGTTCTTGGGGGGTTGGCGGGGGGAGCGCCGGCAGCGAGGCCCATCAGGAAGAGCCTGGCCGCTGCGGGCTGGGTCTGCAGGAAGCAGCGGCACGGACAGTCCGTACGAGGGCTTTGGCCCCTCGCTCACAGCCCGCGGGACTGCCTCCAGTCACCGGGAAAGCCCTGCAGCTGATAAATATGTAGTTCTTGTTTTTAAGACTCTCAGCCAGGAGATTCAGAAGCTAAACAAGAAAAACAAACTAAAGAGGCCAGGAGGCCGACGGCCCCTGACATCAGAAGTGGACGGAGACCAAGGGTGGCAGGCAGGAGCGGGACGGGGGCTCACCACCGACACGCTCCAGGCGCCCATCCCCAAGTGAGGCAGACTCACACCCGGGGATGAAGCACACACACCGCAGAGAACTGGGTCAGGGTCTGAGGACGCGGCCGCAGGCGCCAAGCTGGGGAGGCGGACGCGGCCCCGGGGACTGCGAGCACTCACATGCCCACGGCCCAGGGCAGCGGCGGCACGGGGCACACAGGTCTCCCAGAGAACACAGCCGCCGCCGCCGCCCACGCCTCCCGGACGGCGACGCCGTCGACACAGCACCCACACCCCCGGGACTGCGGTCTAAGCCATGAGCAACCTGACCTGTCGGGACAACACACACGCCTGCAAAATAAATGCCGAACAGTCCTCACAGACGCCTGAGCTACGAGGAACAAAAAATAACCTCTTCAGGTTCCTGGTCAAAATCTACAGAACAGACTGCGGGGCGCCTGCGCAGGCCGCCCGGGAACCTTTTTCGGAGACGCCTCCGCTCTGGAGGACGCGTCCCTCGCTGACCCAAGAGCGGGACCGAGCTCTGGGGCGGCTTCACCCAGGCAGCGGGACACCGACAGAGGGCACGGAGTTCTGTGCAAACAGAGAGGAGGGGAAGAGAGGCCCGGCCGGCCTCTCCGGGCGGCGGGCTGCCCGCGGCCGGGCGCCGGCCCTCTTACCTTGTTCTTTGACGGAAGCTCTGCTGCCTTTTGTTGAGCGCTCCACAATCAGCTGGCTGGTGAAGGTCATGAATTCCTGAACACTAAGAAACACAGCACATGTTACTGGCTCCTGCCACCTTGTCCTCAACCCAATGGCGAGTGACCTGCGCTTATCCATAAGGTGACACTGCTGCTGGGTTTCAGCCCTTTCCCTCCCAACCATAGACATGTAACAAACGCTCTGTAAGTGAACAGATCCACATAGTTACAAATTATCACCACCATTCAAACTACTTCTGTTTGCTACTCAGCTCACCCCAACCACCACCTTCCAGACTCCTCGGGTGTTTTACTGTCCATGTAACAACTTGGTCAGAGGACGGTTGGGACACAGTGCAAAGCAGAAGCCAGTGCTTGTCCTCCAGGCCCCGCTGATTTCCAAGAAGTAGGACAAATAAAAACCCCTGGAAAAGCATAGGCGGCCAGACCTGTGTGGCAGATGCACAGCCAGGTACGGCCGCCTCACCTGCGGCACTGGCCCCGGGCACTGCCGGAGGGGTGGAGGGCAGCGGCTCGGACACGGGGCACGGGGCACGGGGCACGGCGGGGACACAGGCTCGGCACGGGTCGCAGGTGTTGCCCATCGGCAGCGGGTACGCGCGCCGCAAGCTACCGGTCTGTCAGTCCCCCATGAACCCCGACCCTCCAGCGTTCATGCGCGGAGAGCACAGAGGACCAGAGGGACCTGAGTTGGCACAAAGACAGAGAAGCAGCCACAGGGCAGCGAGTGGAGGCCAAGGCCCAGGGAGCCAAGTATCAAGAAGATACTTTTAGACCCAAAAGAAGCAGGAAGCTTCAGCAAAAAAAAAAAAAAAAAAAAAAAAAAAAAAAAATTAAGAGGCTGTTTTGGAGCCTGCCAGCAAGCCACTCTCATCGAGAACAAAACCGCTGCAGAGCCGTGGAGGCGGTCCAGGCGGCCGACGGCCGCAGGCCTGGGCCCGGTGACCACAGGCAGGCGCCGCGGGGTCCCTCTCCGTCCAGGCCTGGGTCACCCACCCTCCCACGGACGGGCTGCAAGCGTCTGTCCTACTTCCAACACCCACCTGCTTGGAACACACGCCCAGGAAGGCGCAGGGCTGTCCACCTCGCCGCTGGTGGGCCGCATGTGGCCCAAGAGTGGCTACGAATGCAGCCCAACACAAAATCGTAAATTTACTTAAAACATCATGAGATTGTGTGTGTGGGTGGGGGTGTATGTGTGTGTGTGTGAGGGATTACGTGTCACAATGTATTTAATGTGGCCGCCAAGACAACTCTCCTTCTTCCAGCGTGGCCCAGGGTCTCCCGGACGCTGGACACCCCCAGGAAAGCTTGAGCCCCTACCAACGCCGCGCCGCTTCCTCCCGGGTCCCCGGGGTAGGACCTTCGGTACCAGGGGGCCCAAACTAAGAGACGGCAGTTTGGGTCGGAGCCCGGGCTGGCCGTGGTGCGCTCCCTTGGGGCCTTGGCGACCTGCCCCAAGAGGGAGCGCCCGCCTGCACCTCTCCCGGGGCGGCTGGGATGCAGGGACTCTGAGGACGTGGCAGCCCCGGGCGCGACCCAGGGTCGTTGCCTGAGAGGTACTGGTTTCGAACACAGACTTCGAGGCCTCCGCCTACCAGTTCAGACATCGCGACGTGAGCCCGGGGAATCTGCATTTTCAAAGCTCCCTTGTCATTTTTACAGGGCAGCGATTTGGAAAACACCGAGTTTAGGGGCGTCTCCTGGAATGGCCTAAGCCTCCATCAGCGCCAGGATGGTGGCCAAGAGGTGCGGTCCGCGGACCGGACGGAAGAGGTCCCTGCGGGGGCCGCCGCCGTCGCCACCCCCTCCGCCGCCTCCGCCGCCCGGCTTCCCCGGCACGCCCCCGCGACCCCGGGCGGCCGGCCCGTCCGCCCACCTGGACCGCTGGAAGAAGCTGAAGGACGACACGTCGGAAGCGGCCTTGAGCAGCGCCGCCTTGGGCTCGCCTTTGTACAGGACGCTCAGGCAGTACAGCTTCATGGCTCCGCCGCGGCCGCCGCCCGGCCCGCGGACCGGCTCGCACGAGCTGGCGGCCGCCGCCCCTCCCAGACCACCACCGCCGCCGACGCGTCGGTCGCCGCTTCCTCCTCTGGGCTCGGGGTCCACTTCCGGTTCCGGTCAGGGGCCGCAGCCCGAGGCTTGCGGAGCGCGTCCTTGCCGGCGGAGCGGCGCGGCGGCCGGAAACACGCGGCGAGGGGCGGGGCGGGGCGCGAGTGCGCGTGCGCGGGGCCGCGGCCCCGCCCCGTGGAGCTGTCCGTGGCTGCCCGCCGCCTCCCGGGCCGCCGGGGGCCGCGGCCGCCGCTCTCTAGCTGGCGTGTTGAGACGGGGCTCCGTCCAAGAGGCGGCAGTTCCCTCGGAGCCTCGGTCGCTAAACGGCCCCGTGCGGTCAGGAACGGTCTTGCAGGACCGACGCGCGCGCACAGAGTCGCACGGGCGTCCGGGGCAGAGTCCGCGGAGGCGATCGGGCGGAGGTCGTCCAGCGATGCTTTGTGCGTTTCCGCACCTGTCCTCGCGGCCGGCACTTGGCACAGCGCGGCAGCAGGGCAGGGGCGCCGGCGTCAGCGTGCGCGTCCGCGGGAGACCGGGCTCGCCGTCCGGCCATAACTGGGTCTACCCCTGCTGGACAAGGTGGGCACCACCGCTTCCCGGAGGCCCGGCCCCGAAACGGCCGGCCGTACAGGGGCCGGCAGCCCACCGCGGGGCAGCTGGGTTGTTTCACTGAACTGACGTGAGCCTCCAGCCCTCTCGGGAAGGGGCTTCGAGCGGAGCCGCCGGTGTGGTCCGGCCTCCGAACGAGTCCGCAGCATATCATGCTTTGATGTATTGATTATTTTGAGTTAAGGCATTGCACTACAGCAGGTGCAAGAGGGCACTCTGACCCCACTTTCTATTCCGAAAGCAGGGGTTAACCTCCCCATGGAGCTTGCCCTCCCTGTACGAGGAGGAGGGGACGCATGCCCAGCACCCGGGTGGGCGGAGGCCGAGAGGCATCTGCACGAGCGAACCTTGCTAGTCACTAATCCACAACGGACTGACTGTCCCTGCCCAAACCCACTCTGGACACACGGTTACTTAGGCTGGTGGCCTGGCCTGAGGACGGCATCCTGACCACCTCGGGGCTGCCCTGCACAGAACGCATTTGACACTTGAGAGAAGCAGTGTGATTTGCACAGACTGGGACGGTGAGCGAACCTCAAGCAGTGTCAGTGCAAACTTCTGGTTAAACATGGAAGGTTAAATACACAGGTTTATATGAACTCCCTGGCGAATCTCCACTCGAATGACTTGGAGGCAAAGGACTGCAGGAGCACAGTGAATGGGCAAGGCCACCCGGGGCCGGCGGCTGTCCGCTGCAGAGAGGTCCTGTCTGTGATGGGGGCTTAGCCAGTGAGGGGCTGAAACCCAAGTGTCCTGGAGAGGCCCCCCCATGCGCACTCCCCAGGCTCTCCAGCCAGGAAAGCACCACCTTCTCTCTCTCCCCAGGGAACAGGATGCAGGGCCTTCCTTCTGGAGAGCTGAGTGGCTCAGAGCTTCTGCCCCTTTGAGAGCGAAACCACCCACGTTTCTAGTCCCTCCTGGGACAGTGTGTCCTGCGAGCCCAGTCTCAAGGCTCTGGTAGGTGTGCAGGACGGCTGCCTTTGGGTCAGCCCCCCTGTGGTCAGGGAGGTCGGGGCTGTGTCTTGGCAGGAGGGACTTCTCTGCCTCTGTGCTCAGCCGGAGGCCGCGGCCGGGGCCCGTGGGGGCCGCGAGCACTGCAGACTGCGGGCCAGCCCTTCAGCCCACTGGCTTCCGTGGCCTCGTTTGAACGCGATGATAACACCAGCCCTTCCTGCTGCCCCCACGTTGATCGAATGACAGAATGGGTGAAGTTCTTTGTGAATTACAGTTTTAATCAACGTGAGTTATAATAACAATTTTTCCTCATAAATATATTGCCGTTCTTTAGGACTACAGCTAACAAGATATGTGTAAGATCAATGTGTGAGAACAGTAGCAACACTCACCTAAAGGACACAAAAGGAGACCCAAACCGATGGAGTGATGTACCGTCTTTCCGAGTGAGACAATTCGACGTTATAAAGATGTCCATTCTCTAACATGAACCCCCATGCCCCCAAATGCTGTGCATATCCACTGAAATTATCAACAGCATTATTTTGTAAAATGGAGTGAGTAAATTATAAGATTTACATGAAAGATAAAAAGGTCATGGTAAAGAAAATTCTGTAGGAAAAAAAGAAGGGACGTTTGCTCCACCGGATATAAAAAAACTAAAAAGTTATGCCAACGGACAGAGTGCGGTGTGGGCCGAGAGCCACAGCTCGTGGGCGGAGCGGAGGCCGAGGCAGGCGATGCCCGGAGCTGCTCCCCTTCAGACCAGGGTCACCGTGACACGGGAACAGAAAGAGCACCCCAGGTGCCGCTGCTCGCCCCACACCCACACGGGAGGGCTGAGCCACCTGCGTGTGCCCTGTCTGGCAGCCCATCCCAGATGGCGGCTGGACCCTGGGACCTGGTAGACAACAGGAAGCCTCCCTGGCAGGAAGGGGGTGGGAGGTGGCTGTGGCCCTGTCTTCCCACCTGGGGCCACCGTGCTCCCAGAGGCCCTGGGGCGCTGTGGCTCCGGAGCTGGCCGCGCAGCCTGTTGGGTCCGCCTGCAGGTGACTGGAGCTGAGCTGTTCCTCCCCCAAGAGAATAACACAGTGACGTTCAAGCTGTGAGGCAGGTGGTGTTGCAAGTCTGTGAGAAAGGGCACTGGACAAACACCTCATGCCATGTGCAAAACAAATGCAGAAGGACCAAAGTGCTAACCATTAAAAAACTGGAAAAAAGTATGGAAAGAAATGCGGGAAAATATTTTGTAATTTGGGTGGGAAATGCTTTTCTTGAAAGCAAAGACTGAAATCCATACAAAGGAAACACTTCTGGGTGACGAAAGACACTGGTAACCAAGTCGTCGGTTCAGCAATAGGCTGGAGGGATATATAGCATGTTAGACACAGGATTATTAGATGTTATAGAGAGAATATAAAAGTAGTTTATACAAATTGAAAGACAAAAGATAATTCAGTAACAAAATAGTTAAATAACACGAACAAATCATCTTCAGGGAAAAAATACAAATAACTACTAAGCATATAGAAAGACGTTCAGCCCTGGCTGGTGTGGCTCAGTGGCTTGAGCACCGGCCTGCGAACCAAAGGGTCGCCGGTTCGATTCCCAGTCAGGGCACGTGCCTGGGTTGCAGGCCAGGTCCCCAGCAGGGGGCATGCGAGAGGCAACCACACAGGGATGTTTCTCTCCCTTTCTCCCTCCACCTCTCTAAAAATAAATAAACAGAATTTTTAAAAAATAAAAACATGTCCTGCACTTTGCAATTAAAGCAACAATGAGATGATAGATCAGCAGAAAATGATAAAGATGTATTATCTCAAGGATCGGCCGGGATGTAGCCAAACACCTACTGTTTGTGGAAGGTTAGTTGTATGAGGGCATGTGAGGGCCGGCCAGTAAGTCCTGCCCAGCCACTCGGCCCTGGGAACCATCCAGAAGGAGCATGAGCACGTGTGGCCCCGGGAGACACAAAGATCAGTGAAGGGGAACCGCAAGTGCCAGAGGACCGCGCACGGGGCCGGGCCCCCGGCCGCTCCTGCCCCTGCTGCCCTTGCCGCCCCGCCCGGTGGACGTCCTCGGCCCCTGGCTCTGCGCTCACACCCTTGGCCTGATTGAGAGGCGCTGTGAGCGTCACAGACGCACCAGGTCGGAGCCCGGCCAGAAACTCCCATGGGGTCGTCTCTGGGTCCCATTCTGCTCCGGACGCGAGTGAAACCTGAGTCAGCAGCCCCCTGCTCCCTGCCTGACCCCCGGGGCCTTCCTACAGCCGGCGAGAGGGGCCGCCTGGCCACTGGGCTGAGGCCAGGCAGGTGGGCCTCCGGCTGGCTGGGCCCGGGACGCCGGCTCAGGCTGCGGGGCAGCAGCCAGGAAGGCAGTGGCCCGGGGGCGCGGGGCGCGTGGGGCGGCGCCTGTGGCCCAGCAGCCTGCACCCTCTCCCCTGGCGCCCAGGCCCCGAGGGGCCTCTGCTCTTTAGGAAGTGAGTTTGGAAGCCCTGCGCCCCGCCCGGGGGAACTGGACAGGTGGCGATGACACGGCCACGGGGCTGCTGCCATGGGGACGGGGACGGAGGCCGGCTGCCTCCCCCCAGTTTTCTGCATGGCAGCCCTGATGGCTGGCGGCCAACCCACAGGCCAGGGCCCGGCCCGGAGGCCCCGCTCCCGGTCGCCATGGCAGCGCAGGCCCTCCCCGGCGCAGGAGGCCCCGCGGCAGAATGCCCCATCTCGCACCTGGCCGCTGTACACCTGGCCGCGCCAGGAAGTGTGGGGTGGCAGCTGATTCCGGGAAGCAGGTTAGGGTGTGAGAGGAACGGTCACCTTCAGCCTAATTACTCAAATGCTACTCCAGCCCCAGGAAGGGACTGGAGCTGTTCTGCTGAGTCTGCGTAGAGGCTACCACGCCGCCCAGCTCAGCACAGCCTGGACAGAAAGCTGACCAGCCCCAGAGCCCAGTGATGGCCCTGCCCTGACCACCCCCGGCCCAAGGAGGCCTCCGTGGGGGAGGGTCCCAGCCGTGGCCCCGAAGACAAGGCTCGCGGGCTCACGGGCTCGCCAGGAAAGATGTCAAGGAGGAGACTCTGCGGTTGAAGCTCCAGGCAGAAACCAGCCAAACGTGGACCCTGTTTCCCCAGAGGCCAGGGCCGGCGGGACCCTTGGTTGGGAGAACCCTGGGACATTCCTGCTTCGGAAACCTGTCGGGGAACGCTGAGGGCTCCCAGCTCGCAGGAGCTGGCCGCAGGGCCAGTGCCGGATGCCAGTGCCGGGATGGAGAACACCGTGAAGGAACAGGTAGCCCTGCCTCCTCTGGTTCCAGAAGCCTTTGTCCTGTGTCCCCTCGTCTGGCGGTTGGTTTAGCACAGACACGCGCTCGCTGCTCAGAAGCTGCCTGGTGCACAGGCCCCTAGGGAAGACCCGCTGGGCAGCGAGCGGTGGACGCCGACCTCGTCGTCGGCAGGAAAGCCCCTGCCGCAGGCTCCAGCCCGAGAGCCGGCTCTGGGGCAGCAGGGGGTCTGGGGCACGACCCGCGCTGCTCAGAGGGTCTGGGGAGTCCGGAGCCTGGGGTGTCAGTGGCAGAGCCAACTGCTCAGCCGCGAGACAATGGTCAACAGACGTGACGACAGGTCCCAGGGGCCCACGCGCCCTCGGAGGGAGCTTCACAAGGCCCCTGAGGGCTGTTCCTCTGGGGAGGAGCAGGGAGCAGAGCAACCGGGATGTCCCCTGAGCCAGCCCTGTGCCCGCGCCGCTGTGAGCGAGCAGAACGCGTAGAGCGTGGGGAGGGGGCCGGGGCCGGGGCGGGGGGGGGGCGCGGGCAGAGGCGGCATGATCTCCTCCTCACACGTCATCCCTTCCCCTCTGGAAAATGACGAGGTCAGCACAAACCACGGCTGGCCTGCCCCCGGCAGAGCTGATGATGACAGAAGCCAGCCGGCCCGTTGGGGGCCCCAGCACAGGCAGCCAAGCCCCTGCCTTCAGGGCGGCCACCTGAGGAGGAGCCAGGCGCTGGCCTTGGTAGCAACACAGCGGCTTGGGGACAGCACAAGAGGCCTGGGGCCGCCGTGGGGAAGTGGTGCTGAGCCTCCGTCCCCAGACTCGGGCGGCCCGCGGCCCTTCCCCTTTGTCCCGGGGGACACGGGGCTCCACCCGGCAGGGTGTTTCTGCTCCAGAGGCGAGCGGGTGCTGGTACCGGTTTGGGAGCCAGGCCGGCTGCTCCAGGCCCAGCGCGGAGTGAGGTGCGCGCATTGGGGAGGCAAGAAAACCTCAGTTTTTGACACAAATAACATTTGAATGCAAACTCTAAAGAATCAAAATTAATGCAAAAAGCCATGATGAACGGAATACCACAATTCTAAAGAAAGACGGGGGTGGGGGGTGGGGGGCAGGCTGGGCCGCTGCTCCTGCCGCCGAGAGCAGCCCTGGGGCTCCCCGCTGGAGCTCCCGCCTCCCAGTCCTGGGTCAGGACCCCGCGGGGCGTGTGAGCTTCGCTGCCCGGACCACCCGGCCCAGCCTCATGCCCCCCAGGAAGTGCGACCCCCGCCCGAGACGGCGCTGGGTCTGGAGCAGGGCCCTGTCCCCGCTTCCACGGTCGGTCGCCCCGCAGGCCCTGGCACGGCCACCCCAGGCTCCCAGGGGCAGGGCACTCGGCTGCCCCGGAGGGGACCCACGCCCCGCTGGCCTCGTGCTCTGTTCCCCGGTTCCTCTCACCTGTGTGGACCTTCTAGAGCCCCTCGGTGCAGGCCTGCCCCACGAATGCTGCCCTGGGACCCCTGGAACCCGGTACGAGCTTCCCTGCCCCTCGTCTGGGCCAACAGTCCCCACAAGCACCTGGAGGGTGGGGGACTCGGGAGTTTGAAGCGCATGCCGTTGGCTCGTGCCAGTCGGCCAGTCTGGCGCCGAACAAAAAACCGTGGACCCGGCAGCTCCGACTACGGCTCTGGAGACTGAAGACTGAGACCAGAGAGCCGGTGTGGCCAGTCCGGTGCGGGCCCCTCCTGGCCTGCGGTCGCTGCCCCCGGCTGCATCCTCACCTGGGGGAGTGAGGGGCACGCGGCTCTCGGTCCTCTCAGGACCCTCACGGCATCCCGGGCCCCCCCCTCAGGGCCTCGTCCAACCCCGATTGCCTCCCAGAGCCCCACCTCCAAATCCTGTCACCTTGGGGTTAAGGCTTCGACAGGTGGACCTGAGGACACGATTCGGCCCACAGCGCGGGGCTGGCGGAGCTGCCCAGCCCTTTGTCCTGAGGAAGGAGAAGGCTCCGGGGTGGAGGGAGGCGGCCACCCGCCCAGCCTGCCCGCCCCGCCCGCCCCAGCCGTGAGGCCCTGCGTGCGGGAGTCGAGGCTGCCAGCGGACAGGCGGCCTGGCGCCCCATCAGGCGTGAAGTCAGCGGTGCGGGGCTGGGGCTGAGCCTCGCCAGAGGTGTGCCCAGCAAGGGCTGGGCGGGGCGGCCGTGGCCCGGGGAGCTCTGCCGGCCGCCTGTGCCCCTGCCCTGCGGCAAGGCCTCTCAGAAGGAGCGTTACCATTCCCAGCGGGGCCCCGGGGACCAGCCCGGAGCCGCAGCTCGGACAGGAGCCAAACCCAGGCGGCGTCTGCGGCCCAGCGGGCAGGGGAGCGGTGGCAGAGAGGTGCTTCTGCAGAGCTGCCCTGCGGCCAGCCCGCGGCTCGCGGATGCGCCTGGGCCGGAGCCTGCGCGGGGGTCCTGTGAGGGCAGCAGGCGTGCTCCGCGAGCCCCCTCCGTGACACGCGGCTGGTCCCGCCTGCCCCTCCGCTCCCCTGGGGTGGACACTGGTCCTTGCCCCCTCAGGGCACAGTTCTCTCTTTTTTCTGTCTCTCTGTCCCTGTGGGCTGGGCGCGCATGAGAAGAGGTCCCACCATCACCCCCAGCCGGCTCCTTCCCACCCCCCAGGGCCCGGCGTCCGCAGCCTGCGCCCTCGGCCAGCCCCTCCCCCGGCCCCTCCTGCTCGCCCAGGCCCTGGCCCTTCTCGGCCTCCAGGGCCTCAGGGTCAGCTTTGCGGCGCCCACCCAGGCCCCCGGTCGTCTGACCACAGGCCAGCCCCTCGCGGCCTGGGTCCCTCCTCGCAGGACAGCCCGTCCCGGCTGTTGAGAAATGCCACCTGTGCAGGACCAAGCGCCAACAAGCCCACGTGCCTGACGAGGGCCCGTGTTTCTGTTTGTTTCTGCCCCAAAGAATCGCTTCGTTTAGCCGTCCTGTTTCTCCTGGGTCTCGTTGCTCCATCTCCTGCCTCGCCGTTGGCAACAAGGTTGGAGTTTTTGGTCAAGTTTCATAGAAGGCGCGGCGGGGGTTTCGCCTTCTCCCAGAACACGGACCACTTCCCTCACTCGTACTCAGACCCCCTTTGCCTTTTGGAAGAGGGCTCCCATTTGACCTCTTTGGGCCCCGGCTCTCTTTCCCAGAGGCTTGAGCTCCCGGCCCAGGTTTCTGTCTGACCCTGAGAAAGCCACTCGGGCCGGTGCCCCACCCCCACCGATGCCTGAAGGCGCTGACTGCCCCGGGGGAGGACGGGGTGGTGCCCACCAGCGGCTCAGAACTGGGGGACTATAGGGCAGCCGGCCCGGGGGGCCGGGAGGGGCGGGGAGGGGCGTTGGTCCATCTCCAGGTCCCCTGGTCCCCTAACCTTATCCGTGTCCGATCGGATAAGCTACGCTGATCAGAGAGCTACACTGACTCAGTGCTTTTCCGAGCCGGCTCTGGGCGTCACCTGGAGAGGAGACCGCAGGGGTCAGGCAGGGGCGCAGGGGGGCCAGGGGCTGTTGCTAGGACTGAGTTGCGAGGAGACGGTGGCTCGGTCGGGAGGTCGGGCGCAGGGATAAACAGAGCCTGGTGCCAGAACCCGGTGCTTCCGGTCCACCGGGAGGGCCAGGCTGGGCCAGGCCCCAGGCTGCCCCCGCTCCGCACTGGCGCAGCTGCCCCGCGGGTCCTGGGGGCTCTCTGTAACTCCGGCCCGAGGCGGTCTGCCAGCGCAGCCCCGTGCTGAGCCGGGCGGCCCTTTTCTTCTCCCTCCGAGGCCCCCGAAGGGCCCGCCGGGCTCGGGTGAACGCCCGCTCGGCCACGCCCCAACCTGGGTCGCTCACGTGCGGGTCCGCCTGCAAACCGCCCACCTACTTGTCTCATTTGCTGAGCCTGTGTTACAACTTGTGACTTGGGGTGGGCCAGGCCTTGCCGCGGACCTTCCCACATCCACTGTTTTTAAAAACCAGCGGAATGTGATATTCCTGGTAGAGGAAGGTTTTGACGTCTATTTATATTTTTTCTATTTGTATCCGTCCAATTATATTTTTCCATGTCTTCTCGAGTCAAATTTGATAATGTGTATTATTTTCAAAATCGCCCATTTTTTCCACATTTTAAACTGCGCTGAAGCAGGTCTGACACGTAATTTCCCCGAGGCCCCTCGGGCTTTATCTGTGCTTGTCCCCAAGGCGGCATCTGCTGTCTCTTCTTCCCCATCAGGCCACCAAATGTTTGCTCTTTTATTGGTCTTTTTAAAAGCCGGGTTTGGGATTTGTGAATGGAGTTTACTGTTGTTTTAACTTGTGTGTTTTCTGTACACTTTGCGTTTGCTTTTGTCCTTGATTGTTTTATCCTGATTTTCCGCGGGGTGACTTTATGTTTTGTGCGTGGGGGCCTGCAGCGTCCTAAGCGGATGGTTTTGCTCGTCGACACGCGCTCATCTCCTCGCGCCCACGGGGGGGCGTCCCCGCGCCTGCGCGCCCCGTGGGGCTGTGGGCGCCCGCAGTGTCTCCGGCTGTCACGCCTCCGCGCCTGCCGGGGGCCGGCACCCCACCCGGGCCCCTGCAGCCCTGCCCGCCAGGGGCGCCCTCGGCGCGCGCCGGGGTCAGGCCCCTCTAAATTACCCGCGTTTCTGCCCGTCGCTGATACTGTCCTGCTGCCCCCTCGGCCTGGACCGTCCCCTCCGCCTGGCCCCCTTCATGCGCCGGGGACGGCAAGGAGGAGCCTTGAGAAAGGTCGGCCTCGGCCCCCTCTGCTCCGCACGGACTTGAGTGACGCACCGTCTGTCCACGCGGCCACTGCTGTCCCCTCTTCAGGGCCGTAGGCCCCTCGGGAACTAAACCCTGGTCACCTGCGTGCCCTCCAACAGAGCACAAATCAGGGAGCCGAGCCTTAAATCAGCGAGGGGCCCGCACCCCGTACTAGCCTCTGCCCTCGCTGCTGGGCGCCACTGTGCAAGGGTTGATCGGGCAACACAGCGGGAGGCGGGTCTGCGCAGCTGCACCTCCTGCACCTCCTCAGGGCCCAGCAGGGGTGCGTGGGCGGGGAGCCCCCCACGGGAGCCTAGGGCTCCAGGCCGCCCGCCTCTCGGCGCGGCCCCCGGGAAGGCGAGAGCCACCGCATGGCGCCTCTCTCTGCTGAAGAGCCGGGCCTGGGAGCGGGCTGCTTCGCTTCTGCGCGGCCCCGCGGGCCCCGCCCCTGCCGCCTCCGCCCCTGACGTCCTGCCACACTGCCCGACTCCCGCCCCACCAGGCCCCGGCACCAGGGCTCAGCAGACACGCCGGCCAGCCACGCCGCTGGCCTCCAGGCCTCCCCACGTGAGCGTGCGGGGTGCCCACGCTGGGCCCCGCTGGTGCTGGGGCCGATGGCCAGCGGGGGCAGGCTGGTCCCGGACCCCCACCCCGGGCCTGCTTTCCTTTGCATGGGATGTGGGGCCTGGCCCTCCGACCCATTTATCTGCGCCCTCCGTCCGGCAGGGCCTGGCCTGCCGAGCCTCTGCTCGGACGCGGCGGACAGGGCTGCCCCTTTGTCTTTTTCTTTTTAACCCCCAACTAAGGACACGCATACTGATTTTTAAAGAGGGGAAGGAAGGGAGTGAACAGAAACACCGACATGAGAGAAAAACATCAATCAGTTGCCTCTTGTACAGCCTCCGCCCCCAACCGGGGATCAGCCTGCAACCCAGGCACGTGCCCTGACCAGGAGTTGAACCAGTGACCTTTCCGTTCATGGAACGACTCTCCACCCGACGGAGCCCCACCCGCCAGGGCCCAACTCTGTGTGTTTTCAACTTGATTTTTAGATGTTCTCCATCAATACACATTCGTTGCTGACAACGCAGGAGGCGATGATGAGCAAAAAGGAAAATAAAAGCCCCCTCCCCCCCGCCTGTTTCCACCACCAAGAGCATCGCTGCTGTCACGTGGCCGTGCGTCCGCCCTCGTGTGAGCCCCGCGGCCGGGAGTCCGAGAGGGCGCAGGGGGCTCCCGGGGCCGCAGGCGGGATGTCAGGAGGCGGCCTCACCTGCTCCGCCAGCGGCCGCTGTCTTGCCTGGCACGTCAGAACTGCCCGTTGGCCCCGTGTGTCCTCGGGGCCCGGCACCCGCCTTCCCCGGAGGGAAGACCCCAAGAAAGAACAGGGCAGATGCCCCCAAGTCACACGGCACCGCTTCTGCAGTGGCCTTTTCGCTGCACAGGCTCGGCCCCCGCAGCCTGGGCGGGGTCCCCGCGGGGCCGCAGGCAGAGGTGGGGCTTGCGGGGCCTCGCGCAGGGCAGACACCGCCTGGACCCTGTCCACGCCTGCGGGGGCCGGTCAGCTGCACTGGTTTTAGGAACTGTGCATAAATGTAGCGTAATTCATTTAACCGCGTCCCCGCGGTCAGGTGTGCGGCGATGTTGCACTTTCTGGTCCTGGAAAGAGTAACCTGGACTGTCCATCCCTGGACTGGGCTTATTTCCCGGAGATGACATACAAGGAAAACAAAACCACGCTTGGGGGTTGGCCCCTTGGGCAACCAAAGGACAAGGACCCCGCGTGGGCACAAAGCAGGGTCCCCGCGGCTGCTCCCGCCCCCGCCCCGCCCCGGGGTGCAGAGCTCCCCGTCTGCGGGGACACCCTGGCCCGTGGCGCATGGCTGTGTTTTTGGAAAGCCTACGTGGGGACTGCGTGGGTCCGTCCTCTCTGAGGCCCCCGCGCCCGGCCCCCTGCTCCCCGACCCTCTGTGCCAGCCCAGTGCTGACCCTCCGGGGTCCCCCATCACCTAAGGGGAAGCGGTGGGCTGGCCTGAGCGTGACATCCGGCTCTGGAGGAGGACCCAGAGCTGAAAAGGGGGTGCTGGAGCCGGGGTGCCAGGAGGGGGAAGGGCCCTGGGGGGCTCACTGGCCACGCGCTGAGCGGAGAGGCGCCCGCCTGCCTCTGCCCTGTCCCAGGCCACCCCCACGCCCAGGGGACAAGGCCGGACCCTTCTCGCCCCTTCTCAAGCCGTGTGCACAGAACAGGAGAAGAGCCGCTGCTTCTTGCTCTGGCTGGTCCAGAAGGACCGGGCCAGCCCCACACCCGCGCAAACCAGGGCTCAGAGCCAGCAGCTGGCGGGTCAGTGACCTGCCACGTGTGGGCCGGTGATGCCATTTGCTCTCTTTTGGGACAGGGATTGACTGTGCCAAGGGCTTCCTGGGGGTAACCTTACAGGCCACTGGCGGGAGAGCCTGGCATTCCGTTAAGCCACCATCCCTTGCCTGCTAGCTTGGGGACCCTGCTGATTTTAGCGGGGCGCGTCCAGGGAGAGGGAAGCCCCCACCTGGAGGTGTAGGGGGACGTCATTTGCTTGTGGGGCTCCTTCTGCGGAACGGACTCATAGGGGAGAAATTGTTTGATCAACGCAAAAGGTCGACAGCAACTCCAGCTTGCCCCTGGCCAGGCGGTTTACTTCATGTGGCCTCCAGGCTCCCAGAGGGGACTCCCCGGCCTATGAGCTGCAGAGCCGGGGCCTCGCCCACAGTCGGTGGCCTGGCCACGGAACGGGGAGCCTTTGGCCACGGCCCTGAGGAGTCCAAGCACACGGCAGCTTCCAGGACAGAGGGGCCTGAGGGCTGGGCCTCCGCAGCATCGACTTCACGTTTGTTTTGAACCCTTGATGTCTAGCAGTTGCTCCATGTGAACAGCTCTGTCTTGGGGGAGGTGTTGGGACTTCTTGCGCCTTTCCTGCTCCTGAAGCCGGGCAGGTGCCGGGCCCTCTCCCGCGGCGTGCTGGGTGCAGGGGCGAGCCGCATGCTGAGGGCCCGGCGCAGGGCCTGGGAAGCCGTCCCTGTGAATGTGTGTGAGGGACAGGCACAGTCCGGGGGCAAGCTGGCCGGCGGCGCCCGGCCGGAGGACACCCTCCCGGCCGCGCCCAGAGACGCTGGCGTTCAGACCCGTGCGTTTCCTCGTAGCTTCGTCAGTCCCTGTGACATTCCCCGAGTGCGAATGTCAAGTGTCGGGTCTTACAAGAGCCGCGGCTCCTGACGAGGGGTCTGCATTCATTAGGGACGCGCGGGGCTGCAGGACACCAGGACCCTGGCCGTGGCTCTGGCTCCGGCGTCAGCCTGCAAGCAGCGCGAGGAGCTGGGGGTCCCGGTGGCGCCCGTGTCGGTGACATCATCAGGGCCCCCTGCGGTTTTCTAACAGCTTCTCCCTTCAGCTTTGGCTCCTCATGGTTGCGAGGCCCCGGCCGCCACTTGCACGCCCGCTCCCAAGCTCAGAGGGGCGCCGACCTGCCCGGGAGGCCTCTCCTGCTAAGACCGGGCTGCCCTTGCCCTGTCGTTGGCCACCTTTCCAACTCTGAGCCGAGTCACCAGCACGGCGGGACGGGGCGGGGCCGCTGCACCCCCCAACAACCGGGCTGTGCTGCGTCCTGCCTGGGCTCCGCCCCGCCTTCCTGGAGCGAGAGACTCTCGGCTTTTGCCCGAGCGCCTTTCTTTGCCCTTTTGGTCCAAATAGCCAGTGAATGACAGCGGCCTTCTCCGCAGGGGTGTGCGCCTGTGCAGAGGGGGAGCAGAGCGGGGAGCCGAGCACTTGGGCGCCGGCAGCTGCCCTGGGGAGGGGCCGAGGCCGCTCCCCCGGAGGGCCCCACCCAGGTCCCCGACTCAGCGGACAGGTGGCACTGGTGCACACTGCCCTCACTCGCGTCCCGGCACAGGGACCCCACGGCCTCAGGGCGACCGCGCTCCGGTCGGCAGACGCCCAGCCGCCTTGGCGGTCCCTGCGCTCGGGGCGCACGTGCCCATCCGCCCCGCAGCCTCAGTCCCAGGGCGGGAACTTCACAGAGAGGCCGCCGCCCCTCACCCTCCAGACTGGCTGCCCCGCCTGTGTCACGGCCGCCCTCCCGCTTGCGCCTGCGGTGCCCCTGGCCTCCCACACCTGCCCTCTGCCCTCGGCCCGACCCCAGGGCGCACTGTGCGGCTGCTCTCGGAGCGATCGCTCTCATCGCCCGGCTGGTTTTAACGGTGGAGGTCTGACCCGTTGGGCCACCCTGGGCGAGGGCCCGAGGGCGAAGGAGGCCCTGGGTGTGGTGGGGGAGGGCCCGGTGCGGCCCCACACCCCTCCCGCGCCCAGCGGTGCCCCTCCCCCTGCACAGGTGGAGCAGGTCCTGGCGGAGTTCCGGCTGCAGGAGGAGGATCTAAAGAAGGTGATGAGGCGGATGCAGAAGGAGATGGCCCGGGGCCTGCGGCTGGAGACCCACGAGGAGGCCAGTGTGAAGATGCTGCCCACCTACGTGTGCTCCACCCCCGAAGGCTCAGGTACCGCGGGGGCAGGGCGGCGCAGGTCCAGGGGCGCGGCTGTCCCCGGGGCCTTCCAGGCTCTGTCCCCAGCAGCCCGAGGCAGCCTCCCTGGGCTGGGCCCCGGCGCCTGCAGGCTGACCCGGCCCAGGGACGCGGCTTCTGTCATCGGGCGTCAGAAGGTGGCTCCCCGCGGTCACTCCCTCTCCCCCGAGTCCGGAGCCTGGGCCATCTCACTAGTTTTCCCGCCGAGCCTTGGACTTGGGTGACTTCTACTCGGGCAGGCGGTTCCCGGGACTTCACCTTGGACCCCTGGTGCCGTTCCCCTTGTCCTGCTGCCCCGGGCCTGCCTGCCTCCCCTCCTCGCCCTGCGGGCGCGGCCCCCGGGACTGACGGGTTTCTCCCTGTGGCGCAGAAGTCGGGGACTTCCTGTCGCTGGACCTGGGTGGCACCAACTTCAGGGTGATGCTGGTGAAGGTGGGTGAGGGCGAGGCGGGCCAGTGGGGCGTGAAGACCAAGCACCAGATGTACTGCATCCCCGAGGACGCCATGACGGGCACGGCTGAGATGGTGAGTGGCCTCGGCGCCCGGCCAGCGCCGCGGGGGCCGCCTGAGGGGGGCTGGCCCTCGGCAGCGGCCGGGGCGCGTGGCCTGGACCCCTGGGCCCAGCAGAGGACACTTGGGTGCGGGGGCAGAAGTCGCAGTTACGGGCAGGGAGCCGCCAGCGTCCCGGGCCCGGAGCACGGCTGGGCTGGGGCCCGGCCCGTCGCAGCCGCCCTGAGCCCGCGGCTGCCGTCAGCAGGACCGGAGGCCCCCGCAGGCAGTGGGGTCAGGAGTGAGGGACGGGCTGCAGGCTCAGGGCCGGCTTTCCCGGGGGCGGCCGGCTCGGCACAGGCACCGGGGCGGGCGTGGGGGCGGCGGCCGGCCTGCCACTGTGGCCGTCGCTCCCCCAGCTCTTCGACTACATCTCCGAGTGCATCTCCGACTTCCTGGACAAGCACCAGATGAAGCACAAGAAGCTGCCCTTGGGTTTCACCTTCTCCTTTCCCGTGAGGCACGAAGATATCGACAAGGTGCGGCCCAGGGAGGCTGGGCGGGGGGGACGTCAGACAGACGGACAGGTGGGTGGACACGTGCCCCTGAGAAGGGCCCCCTGAGGGAAAGAGCCCTGGATTCACACTGTGCCCGTCCCCCGTGTTCCGCGGCGCCGCAGGAAGTGAGGTCACACGGCACTGCGCCCCCGCTACAGGCGGGGGAACTGAGTTAGCAACGGGCGGGCGGGGCGGGGGAGCGGCCGTGCGGCGGCTCCGACCAGGCCAGCGGGCTCGTCCTGCACGCCAGGGCGTCATCGCTGTGTGGCCCACCGCGCCGGGGCTGGCACGTCCGCCTGGCAAAGTAACACACACAGACCAGGTATGCACACACCTGTCAGGCACAGGTACAGCTGTGACACAGACCTCACGGCGGAGCAGTGGCAGGAGCGACTGCCTGCGCTGGTTTCCCCCGGGAAGGAGCCGCTTGGCTCCTTCCTCTGCAGCGGGCGCACGGCGGGAGAGGACCCCGGTCGCGTCCTTTGCCTGGGGAGACGTCTCCGGGCTTCCCTGGACAAACGCCCTCGGGCTGCTGGGACCCGGCCCTGCAGAAATATGGGTGGTCGTGGAGGGCTGTCCCCAACCCCTCCACACGACGTGAGCCTCAGTGTGCTCACCTGGAAAGTGGGGAGCCTGTCCCTGTGGTCCGAGGTAGCTCCCCACCCCCTCTTTCCCCACCAACCCTGGTCAGCAGCCACCAAGGGCCCCCTCCCCCCGCAGGGCATCCTGCTCAACTGGACCAAGGGCTTCAAGGCCTCGGGAGCAGAAGGGAACAATGTCGTGGGGCTCCTGCGAGATGCCATCAAGCGGAGAGGGGTGAGCGGGCACCTGCCCCTGCCGCCCCTGCCCTCCCCCTCCCCCGGGCCGGGGGGCCAGGGAGGGCCTCGTGGGTGCCCCCAGGAAGGGGTCTCGGGCTCCCTCGTTGGGCTGGACCGGCGCAGAGCAGGCTGAGCGGAGACCCCGGCCGCACTCCGCCGCGGGCCTGTGCCTCTCGGCAGGACTTCGAGATGGACGTGGTGGCGATGGTGAACGACACAGTGGCCACGATGATCTCCTGCTACTACGAAGACCGCCAGTGCGAGGTCGGCATGATTGTGGGTAAGGGGCGCGGCCGCGGGCGCCGAGGGGTCGGGGACGGCCGGCGTGGGGCCCGCGTGCCAGGCTGGGCCCAGACCCGCAGGGGCCGGAGCCCAGGGCGGGTGGGGGAGCCACCGGGGCGCACCGAATGCGCAGCTCTTGGCTGGCAGGAAGCATCTGGACGCTCGCAAGCCACGGCCTCGGCTGGCACACCGGCCGCGTGTGCACCCGGCCCATCAGGATTCAATGAAAACACCTTATCTAGTAAAGTGACCGAACTAGACAGGTTTGTCCACGTGGAAAGGGCAAGCCAAAGGGGCCCATGTCTTCGCGGAGGCTCTGGCCACGCCCAGGCTGCCGGCCGGCCCTGCCCGAGCCGCGCGGGGCCCTCTGGCTCCACTCGCCGTGGCCCTCACCGAGCAGTGGCCTGTCGGACCAGTGCGCTGGGCCTGAGAGTGTTTTCCCGGACTCTCCAGGCCCTGGTTGCCCTGAAAGCCCGTGATGGAGTTGTGTGCCCCGCGGGCCCTTCAGAGCCAGTCCCGGCCTCTTGGGGACCAGGGACAGCACCCTGCAGGTGCCTGTGCCGAGCCTGACCCCGTGCTGTCTCTGCTCTTGTTTGTCACATCTTTGCCCAGCCTCACCTCTCAGACCCAAGTGGGCTTTCAGGCCGTCACCCACACAGGACCTCGGGGCCCTGGCTGTGCGCCCCTGCGCTCTCCTCCAGGCGCTGGCGGCAGCCGCGCCGGCGCGGCTCCCGGGGACGCCGGGGCCTGAGCTCCACAGCCGCTCAGCGGGGGCGCACCCCTCCTTCAGCAGAGTCAGCAGAGTTGGCAGAACAAGCATGTGGTCACGTCTGTCCCACAAGCACCCTTGGTTCCTCTGCTCAGTGCTTAATGTGTTTATTACAATTACCAAGATCTAAAGATTGGGAGAATTCACATCCAAGTCTGGATTTCTGTTTTTTACACACACACACACACACACACGCACACACGCGCGCAGTTGGGAAGGCCTGGCATCCCTGGGCCTCGATTCCTACTGGGCGGCTCGCTGGCCAGCGTCGGAGTTGCTGCCCCCGACGGCTTTGGGCTGTGTGGCCCGCCCACACAGTCACGCTCAGGACGGTGCTCTGCGGACTTCGCACAGCTCCCTGCAAACAACAGATTCCATAGCCAGCCCCACCTGCAGTACCCCAGTCCCACACTGGCCCCCGAAAACAGGACCCAGGGCAGAAAAGCTCCAATGCATCCATGGAAAATGCCGGAAAACAAGGGTGGAGCACAGACAACACCGCACACCCGTCTCTGCTGGGCACACCTGGCACATCTCCCTCAGTCCCCCAGCTGCCCAGGGAGTAGGAGGGGAAGGCGTTGCCATTCCCTCTCGTGGAAAAGCAACAGCCCAGGGAGGTGCGTTCACCTACCCAAGGTCACACAGCAAACCCAGGCCCTGTGTGCGCCCGGGGCAGCCTTCCACTCGGCGGAGGAAGCCACGAAGTTGGAGGGCGCAGGGGCCTCCTGGTGGGGGGCAGCGCCCGGGGGAGGCAGCCCGGTCCCAGGCCCCAGGCGTTCTGTTACTGTCCCCACCGCAGGCACGGGCTGCAACGCCTGCTACATGGAGGAAATGCACAACGTGGAGCTCGTGGAGGGGGACGAGGGCCGCATGTGTGTCAACACCGAGTGGGGTGCCTTCGGGGACGCCGGCGAGCTGGACGAGTTCCTGCTGGAGTACGACCGCGTGGTGGACGAGAGCTCCCTGAACCCCGGCCAGCAGCTGTAAGGCCTCTGGGGCCCCTGGCGCCACCACGCAGACGGTGGCGGGGGGTGGGGGGAGGTTGCGGCTTGTGGCTTGTGGCTTGTGTGTGAACGGGTCTGGGGCAAAGCGAACAGTCCCGTGGTTGCCGTTTCGGCTCTTCCTCCAGCTCAGACGCACGCCCTGGCCCTCTGGGAACCCGGCACCATCAGATGCGAATATTTCGGCCTCAGAAAGGGGGTCTACAGATGGATGGGCCGGGACCTCCCCCAGGGTGACCGGCATAGGAAGGCTCTGAGACGCCCCCAGCCTCCTTACTGGGTTTAACCCCGGGCTCCCCCAAGCACAGATCTGCTCGCGTCTGCAGAGCGCATGCAGCATGCTGGGGGGTGCCCGGGCCACAGACCACAGCTGGTCAGGGACGCCGCCGGCCCTCCGCCCGCCCCCAAGCGCCTGCCAGTTCCCGCCGTCAGCACTGCCTCTGGTTCGCTGAAGCGCTGCGGGGTCGGCAGCGGTCAGCGGGCTCCCGGCTGAAATAGGGAGGCTGGCAGTGAGCTCAGGAGCCTGCGCCGGCGCCGCCCAGGGGGGTCCCCCGCCCCCGAGGTTCACTCTCCCCAGGTCACCGGGCAAGGAGAACAGCACCCGCCTCCTGGGCGGGGACGCACGTGGACTCGGCGCAGGTCCGGGCGCAGGTCCGGGCGCAGGGCGGCCTCGGAGGCGCTGGACCGAGGCCCCGCCGGGGAGCTAGCGTCGTTTCTAACGCCCCCGTGGGTAGATGAGCGCAGGGGCAGCACGCGGGTTCAGTGAGGCGTCACCGCGGCCGCACGGGGACGTCCCTGCTGGGGTGTTCCTTTGCGCAGGTTCGAGAAGCTCATCGGCGGCAAGTACATGGGCGAGCTGGTGCGGCTCGTGCTGCTGAAGCTGGTGGACGAGAACCTGCTCTTCCACGGGGAGGCCTCGGAGCAGCTGCGCACGCGCGGCGCCTTCGAGACGCGCTTCGTGTCGCAGGTGGAGAGGTGCGTGGGGCGGGGGCGGGACGGACCTCCAGTCCCCAGGGGCCCCCGCCGTCTGCTGGGCAGTTGACAGAACCCGCGCGGCCCCTCTGTGGCTCCCCACTCGCCGTGGACAACGTCTCACTTCATCCACGCGGCAGCGCCGCCCACGTTACAGGGGAGACCCTGGGCTTAGAGAGGAGCGACGACCGGTTACTGCCGGTCGCCGGCAGAATCCGATCCGCTCCCAGGCCCCCCAGCCCGAGTCCCAAGCGCTTGGCCTGGGTGAGGTGGGCAGGGGGAGGGGACCGGGCCGCCGCTGGCCAGGGGCAGGCTGACCAGGCCCAGAGACCCTCCAGTGACGCCTTCCCCTCCCGTCCCACAGCGACTCGGGCGACCGCAAGCAGATCTACAACATCCTGCGCACCCTGGGGCTGAGGCCCTCGGCCACCGACTGCGACATCGTGCGCCGCGCCTGCGAGAGCGTGTCCACGCGTGCCGCGCACATGTGCGCCGCGGGGCTGGCGGGCGTCATCAACCGCATGCGCGAGAGCCGCAGCGAGGACGTGATGCGCATCACCGTGGGCGTGGACGGCTCCGTGTACAAGCTGCACCCCAGGTGAGCGCCGGCCTCGGTGCCGAGACACGCGGGGAGACAGACGCCCTCCCGGGCTCCTTGCGGCTCCGGGACCCAGGGGCTCGTATCTCCTCTTGGGTGTGGGGAGCGGGGTCCGCTGGGCTCACCCCAGCCCCGCGCTCAGCTCGATGGCTGCGCCGTGGAGGGTGGGCCTGGGGGAGGCCGGTGGGAGCGCAGGGAGGAGGGACCAGCGCTGCATCCCCCTCAGCTTCAAGGAGCGGTTCCACGCCAGCGTCCGCAGGCTGACGCCCGGCTGCGAGGTCACCTTCATCCAGGCGGAGGACGGCAGCGGCCGTGGCGCGGCCCTGGTCTCTGCCGTGGCCTGTAAGAAGGCCTACATGCTGGGCCAGTGACGGCAGCGGAGCCCGCGAGGAGGGGGCTGCGGCGGCGCTGGACTGCGAACCAGGCGCAGGGGCAGGAGCCGGGCCTGCCTCCCGCCCCGCGGCCCCTGCCACCCAGAGAACCCAGGCCCGGGGGGGCCCACGGGGGAGGCTGGTGGCCCAGGGGCCAGCTCTTCCTGAGTCTGTCGATGGGGCAGCCCCAGGGCCCGAACTGGGCTGGGGGCTGAAGGAGCAGGAATGGAGACCCCAAGTCTTTGTCTTTCTGCTGGAATCAGCCACCGGGAGGGGACTTGGTCTCCCTGGACTTTGTTGCGTCTCTGCGCCCCTGCGCTGGGAGCTTTCAGCTGGTCCTGCTGTGCCTGGACCCCGCCCGGGGAGGGGCTTTCCTCCGGACCCTGCTGGGGCCTGGCTTCCCTGGAAACTCAGCCCACATGGGGCCGCAGCCCCAGGGACCTGGCCGGACCTGGGCCTGGGCTCTCAGCGGGACAGGGGCTGCTGACCGCCCAGGCCCGGCCAGCGATCGTTTGCCTGGGCAAGGGGCGTGCCGTGGGAGGGGGCTGGTTCCCACGTGGAGGCTGCGGTCCCTGGAGACCCGAAGAGGGCAGCCCCTTTCCTCCCCTGCTGCCATCCCTGGGGTGGACCCCCCCAGGAGGTACAGGAGACGGAGCGCCCGAGCCCCGTCTGCGGGACCGGGAGGAGGAGGACGCCCCCCGCCCGCGCTCTGCCCGTCTCTCGCCAGACCCCGCGTGCCACACTGCCTCTTCGTGCCCACCTGGGGACCGCGTGGTTTTTTTAATTAAAAGTTTAAAACTTTAGAACGTGGCCTGGCCCCCCGTTGTTCGACCTCTGTGCACAAGGACGGGGTGGCGGGGCAGTGTATGGACGTGGTGCCGTGTGCAGAGACACCCGTCTGCCTCTTCCCCGGCCAGCGGCGCAGGGCTGTGCAGAGCGGCAGGCGGGCTGTGGGGGCAGAAACGGGGCGCCACGGGGGCGGTGCCCGCTGAGCGCCCCAGGGAGGCCCCGGGGTGGGGCTGGTCCTGTCTCAGGTCGGTCTCTGCGGGGCCCCTCCGGCCCACACCTAAACCCTAAACCCAGTTACGTAGAAACACACGCGTGTACGATTTCCCGTGAGAGCGACCACCCAGCAAACCCGGAGCGAGTCGTTTCATCCGCAGCTCAGCCCGCGTTGAGACTCGAGCCACAGCCCCGGCTGCCCCTCCCGCCCCGCCCTGCGGTGAAACGTGGCTGCCCCTGGTCGCTAGTTCTCCCCGGTCTAAGGCAGGCGCCCCGCGCCCCCGCGCCCCCGCCCCCGCGCCCCGACCGCTTCTCTTCCCGTGCGCGCGCTCACGCGGCAGCCAGAAGGGCGGCCTCCTTCGTCCTCGTGTCGCAGTTCAGGACCTTATGTTGACTTTCTGAAGTTCCCGGGGCCGGGGCGGGGGGTGTTACGTGCTCGCTGAGCGTCACCCGTGTAAAGGAGGTGCCGTGAAACAGTCACTCCTCCTACAAAGGCGTGAGACCCTCTGCGCTCCCCGCTGGGCGGCCTGTTCCCCACCCGCTCCAGCAGGGGGCAGCCAGGGCCGCGCCTGCACTGGAAAGTTCCCTGCTGCCCGGCTTTCTGTGGCCTGGGCCCCTCACTCAGTGGTCGCCTGGATCAGGAGCTCATGACCCCCTTCTGTGGGGGTCCAAGGGACCGTCCGGGGTCCAGGCAGTGTCGCTGCTCCGAACGCCTCACACACAGCCTCCGTCGGGAGTCACGGCCAGCCCAGGGCCGCCTCCTGCCTCCAGGCCGCCCTCAGAGCCACCCGCGGCCCCCCAGGCCCAGCGGCCCCCGGCGGAACTCTCGGACTGGGCAGGTCTGGGCTGGGCCTGCGGGAGGCTCGGTCAGATGGAGGTGACAGGGCCGCTCATCCTGCACCGTGGAGTGTTGACAGCGAGGGCCTGCTCGGCCCCCGGGGGCCTGGAGCCCTGGGCCGTCGCCGCGTGGCGGACGCCGGGCGCGGCGTGGCCGGGGCCTGGGGGGTCGCTGGAATGTGTCTGGAATCCGAGTGGGGCCCTGCCCTCCCCCAGCCCGGGCGGCCAAGTTTGGGGCTGTCCTCTCTCCCGCTCCTTATTCGGCGCTGCAGGTGATAAGGCTGAGACATAAAGGGGCCGTGAGCCCCTCGCAGCCGCCAGGCTGCCACAGAGCGAGGATGGTGAGTGCCAGGCGGGGGACAGGGGGCGGCACCTGGGGGCCCTTCGGGGTCGGGGCAGAGCAGCGAGTCTGTGCCTGCCCAGCCTGGCGCGGTGTCCCCGGGGCGGGAAGGGGACCATGGCCCGGGCTCTCCCGGGACGGCCCTGGGCTGTGCACGGGGGCGCCGTGCAGAGGACCCCTCCCACCCGCCCCATCGCAGGCCAGCAGGAAGGCGGGGACCCGGGGCAAGGCCGCGGCCACCAAGCAGGCCCAGCGGGGCTCCTCCAACGTCTTTTCCATGTTCGAGCAAGCCCAGATCCAGGAGTTTAAGGAGGTGAGCACCCCGCCGCCAGCACCCCGCCCTCCCCCCCCAGCCCCGCAGGCCGTGGGCCCCTGTCCCTGCTCCTCCCACCAGCCAGCACTCCCTCGCCTGCCCCTCCCTGTCGGGACCGTGCCGTCCACTCCACAGGCCTTCAGCTGCATCGACCAGAACCGGGACGGCATCATCTGCAAGTCGGACCTTCGGGAGACCTACTCCCAGCTGGGTGAGTGCACCCTCCCGCTCAGCCCCACACGCTCACCCCGGGCCCGCTGGCAGGGGACAGGCCCCCTCCTGCCCTCCGCCCCCACGCCCCCACCCCTCGGGGGGCTACCTGGGGCCCCACACGCCGCCCCCCACAGCTGCCTCTGGCACTCGGGAAGGAGGGGAGGCAGCCTGAGCCCTGCTGGGGGCACCCAGGGCCCCTGTACCCACGCCCGCCCGCCCGGCCCCCAGGGAAGGTGAGCGTCCCCGAGGAGGAGCTGGACGCCATGCTGCAGGAGGGGAAGGGCCCCGTCAACTTCACCGTCTTCCTCACGCTCTTTGGGGAGAAGCTCAACGGTGAGCCGGGGGCAGGTCTGGACCCCCCGTAGGGCAGCGCGTTTGGACCCCCCGAACACCACAGACACCTCCCCCGCCGGAGGCCCTCCCGGACCCACTAGAACCCCACCCAGAGGATGCAGGGCCGACCTTTGCATCCCGCGGGCACTAGTCACCCCAGCTGTTGGGGAAACGTGCCCCCACCTTTACTCCCAAGCCCCACACCCCACATCGCAGCCCCTGGGCAGCCTGCGACCTCCAGACGGCAGTCGCGGCCCATCCGAGCCCCGGGCGGCGCTTTGCCTCGGGAAGCCCGCTCCCGCCTCTGCTGGGCTGTGGAGGCTCCCGCTGCGCCCTGGGTGCCTCCCGGGGAGCCTTGGAGGCTGGGGGCGCGGGTGCTCACCTGCCGCCTCGGCCTCCCAGGGACCGACCCCGAGGAAGCCATCCTCAGCGCCTTCCGCATGTTCGACCCCAGCGGCAAGGGCGTGGTGAACAAGGACGAGTGAGTGCGAGCTGGCCGGGCCGCGGGGGGCCCTGGGGAGGGCGAGCCACAGCCACCTGGGCCACGGGTGCCCTCAGCCTGCCTGTGCGGCCGCCCCCAGCCTCCTCCCCCGCTCCCCGCTCCGCAGGTTCAAGCAGCTCCTCCTGACGCAGGCTGACAAGTTCTCCCAGGCCGAGGTGAGGACTCCTGCCCCTCTGTGGGGCGCGCACCCCGCAAGGCACTGGGGAGGCCTCGGGGACCCTGTCCTCCTGGGCTTAGAGCCCAGCTCTCTGCAGGAGGCCATTTCTGTTGAGACCGGAGGTGAAGGGCGTGGCGTCAACAAGGGGGGGGGTGCCAGGCCGGAGGGCCGTGGGTGCCAGCACCCGGGGTGAGAGCCAGTGGCACCGGCAGCGTCGGGGGGGGGGGCGTCCGTCACTCGGGGCGGAGTGGCACAGAGAAGCGCCGTCTGGGGCCAGGGTGGGCCCTTCGACCCATGGTCCCCTTTGGGGTCCACCCGCTCACCAGGCTGCCCAAAGTCAGACGACAAAAAAACGTTAACTCAGAGTCTTGGGTTGGGGCCTGAAAAGACTGAGAACCAAGGCACAGCCCCAGAAGGTGGGGCAGGGTCACCGGCCCCCTTGGCCGGGCTGTGCCTCTCACAGTGCCACCCCCAGGTGGACCAGATGTTCGCCCTGACACCCGTGGACCTGGCGGGGGACATCGACTACAAGTCCCTGTGCTACATCATCACCCACGGGGACGAGAAAGAGGAGTGAGTGGGGCTGCGGCGAGTCACAGGCCCTGATGCCACGGCCGCCTCAATAAACACCGTTGCCTACGACCCTGCGTGGTGGCCTCTCTGTGGCAGACGGGGCGGGGCCGCCGGGGGCCCTGCCAGCCCCTCAGCTCTCCCCAGCTGACCGGAGGGGACACCGAGGCTGGAGGGGCGGGCGGCCTGCCGGAGGCCGACCTCTGGGGGGAGAAATACGGGCTCTCTGCTCCCGGCCCGGCCCCGGGCGCTGTCGGGACCGCTGAGCGCACGGCCCCTCTCGGCCCGCGGCCCGCGCGGAGGGCGTGCGGGGCCATGCGAGGCTCAGAGGAGCCCGCCTGAAAGCACGAGGACGAGACTTCGCCTTGGAGGTGCAGGCGAGGCACCCAGACGCCGGGCGGGGCTGGGGCCCCCGCAAGGGGAATGCTGGGGCGCAGGCTGCGGGCTCGGGTTAGGGGGCAGGCGGCCGCAGAGAGGGCGGGCTCCTCCGCAGAGAGCCGCTGCGCCCCACCCACCTCACTGCAGAAGTGGGGCCGGGGGGCCGGGGGACTGGGAACCTCCCGAGTGCCCACGGTGACAGGGAAGCACACAGAGCCCTCCCCGGTCCTCGTCTGGACAGGGGCCGCACAGTGAGGGTCCTGCGCTCCCTCAAACCCCACCCACAAGGGTCTGACCCCGTCCGTCCCCCGGAGGCCAGCAGGGAAGGGCATCTGCATGGGGACAGGGGCTCAGTGTTCATTTTCACGAGGGACGTGGCGATTGTAGTGGCAACGTAGACACCCTAGTTTTGGAGTTATCTTTCTATTGCTTGTTACTGACCACGAAAGTCATGGAGCTGCCTGAGTCTTGGCCAGAGAACCACCCTCCCACCCGCCCCCCTGGAGTCCCTGAGCGGGTGTCCCAGCCTATGGACCCCTGGGGCCGTGTCCAAATCCCCCGGGGCTCCTGGAGGAACTTCCGTCGGCTCTCAGCTGCGGCCCCCTCCTCTGCCGGGGGCTCGTGCTCAGTATGAGGGGTTCGCAGAGGACCGCGTCCCACCCGGCTCCCGCCCGGCCCCGCCCGGCCCCGCCCGGCCCCGCCCGGCAAAGGCCCAAGTCCTCAGCGGCAGCCCAGCCTCGGGCGGGCGGCTGAGGATGCAGCCACTCGGGAGGTGGCGGGAGGCAGGAGGGCCCGTGGGCGCAGGGCGGCCGGGCCAGGCGGGGACGGCCACCCCAGCAAGTGCAGGCTGCAAACAAGGGAAGGTTAACACTCTCTGGTGCAAAAGAAGGAAACGCTTTTTCCTCTGTTTTCTTAGGGTTAGAAAACTTGTAACCTCACATCCTTGCCCTCATATTTTTGTGTAAATCCGTTCCAAAGCTCAGTACGCCTCCACGTTTTCTGTCCCAGGGATGCCCCAGGAAGGCCAGCGGCCCCCGCTGTGAAGGGAGGCCGCGCCCCGTCCCCCAGGCCCGTGGGGCGGGAGCCTAAGTCCGGTGCGGCGCCCCCGGCCCTGCGGCACCAGGCCCGCCCTGTGGAGAGCAGCGGGGCGGGGGCTCCTGGCCCTCCCCATCCGTGTGACGGGCACCCTCCGGTTCAACGCTCACTCAGTAATAAATCTGTTTCCTTCCCCGTGACTTCTGTGCCTAAGTTTCCCGCTTTAATTACTGTCCCAGCAAAGTCAGAAGCTCTCCCGCCAGAGCCTCCGCCGGGCCCCGCGCGCTGGGGCCACAGCAAGTGCCACCCGTTTGTGCTGTTGGGGATTTTATCCTGAAGCCCTGCAGCCCCCAGCCAGGGCCCTGGCCCGGCGCTGCCCCCGCCCCCGCCCCCGGCAGGGCTGGCGTCCTTTCTTTCTGGCACCGCTGAGGAGAGTAAAGGCGGGCTCTGAAGCTGCGCCCTGGCCTGGCCGGGGAGGCCTGGGCTCTGCTTCCCCCTCTGGGAGGCCTGGGCTCTTTCCTCGGGGGGTCAGAGGGCTGTCACCGCCCCCCCCCCCCCCCCCCCCCCCAGTCCAGACCGTCACCGCTGAGGCCTAATCCTGGTGCTGGCGGGAGGGTGTGCGAGCCGGCGCTGCTGGCACTTTGCTCTGTCTTATCCCACGGGACCCTCTAGAGACTAGCAAATAATAAGCCAAACACTCCCTGTCTCCTGGGCTATGAGCCTTCCAGATGCTTCCACTGGAGAGGCCGGGGGGTGGGGCGTGAGGACGCAGAGGGGGCACCTGCTGGGCGAGGCCCTCAGAGGCTCAGCCGTGCCGTGTGCAGGAGCGGCCTCTCCTCCGAGAGGGAAGGCTGGGCCCCGGGGCCCCGGGGGGGGGGTTGCCGAGCCCCCGCCGGACAGGCACCCCTGCCCCAGCCCGGAGTCTGCGCTGGACACTGGCTTAGCTCAGCGGCTAAATGTGCCAGTGGGGGGACCAGAGGACAGATGGGGTGAAGCGGCAACCCCGACAGGTTTGGGGGCCGCCCGCCCGCAAAGGCGGCCCCACAGGCTCCTGGCAGCGGGGCGAGGGCCTTCGGAGCGTGGCGGAGCCCGTCCGAGGCGGCAGAGCCGCGGGGACATCTCGGGACGGGAGGAGCTCCGTGTCCTCTAGCACAGACCTGCCTGGCGAGTGATGCGGACGTCACGAACCTCCGGGCTCCTGGCGGCTGAGGCCGGCAGCCTTTGCAGACCCGGGGTCTGCCCTGGGCCTTGCCCTCAGGAGCCGGCACCGAGAAAGGGCACAGGAGGGGAGGTTGAGCCTGGGAACCGGGTCCCCCTCCCACCTGCTCTGCCCCTGCCTCTCCCTGCTCTGGCCTCCAGTGCCCTCAACGCGCCCCGGGGACTGAACAGCCGCTGACCTCCTTCTGGGCCCCCTGCCGCCTGTGGAGCATCTCCACCAGGACAGGCTGGTGACGCGCAAGCCACGCGGCTCCAAAATAGAACCTTATCAGCCCTGTTCCCGCTTTGTGGTCAGCGACACCTCCCCCGCCCTTCTCCAGGACCCCCGCCCCGGCCCACAGCCAGCTTCCGCCGGGCCGGAAGCACCCGCAGCAGCGGCGGCCGTGAGAGGCGGGCCCCCCAGGGGGCTGCACCAGGGTGGCCGCTGCTCCCAAAGGCACTCAGCAGAGGCCGCAGGCCTGTGGGGGACACGGGCAGGGGCCAGAGGCCAGAGGCCAGGCGACAGCTGGGGAGGGGCCGCCCTCCCCACCCAGACTCTTTCGGGCTCTACTCTTGTAATGAAACCCACTGTTTGCTTAAATCGCCTCCCGTTGCTTTCTGTGACTTTGATCAAGACCTTCTCGCCCCAAGCCTGGCTCCGGACCTGCCCGGGAGCCCCTTTCCAAGCCGGCTTCCCCGGCTCCTCCCACCAGCGCCGCTTCCAAGGGGACCTCCGCAGCCAGGACGCCGGCCGCTGGCCTGGCCCAGGACCTTCCCCACAGCTCTCTGGTTCCATCCCGCAAGGAGGGCCTCGCGGTGGACAGGGCTCATTGTACCCGCCCGGCACTTGTCCCCTTCCCAGGGCCACCGGTCCCCCCGGGGCTCCTGGCCTGTGTCGATGGGGGCCGGGGAGTCCTTGGCACCCACCCCTGCAGAGGCCCAGGGCCGAGCCCGCAGCCGCACAGAAGGCGGGTGGCACTGGCCCTGCCAGCTGGGTGGCCTCTCCAGGGCCCGCGAGCCAGCAGTCAGAGGGAGCTCCTGGGACCCCCGTCCCAGGCCCGGTGTCAGGCCAGGGAACTCCGGGCAGGAGGTCGTCCCTGTGCTGCCGGCTCCGCGTCCCTCGCCTCATCCCATCGCTCCCAAACCCAGCTCTCTGACCGCCCACCAATCCTGTGAGTCGCCGAAACCCAAGTAACCCCCGCCTTCGGTTTAAGGTGGCCACACCCAGGGCGCACCTGCCCCTGACCTGCTGCTGCGCTGCTGGCCCAGGCGTCCTTTCAAGCCTCGTCCCAGGCAGGGTGTCACACCCACAGCCACGGGGATGGCCGCCACCTGGTCCTACGGCCACTGTCCTGAGACCAAAGAACAACTCACACAGCCTGGTTTTGGAAGCCCTGCCTGCTCCCAGACTCCCTGGATAGGCCTCCGCCCCCACGCCGGCTCACGCTGGTCCACTGCGCCACCCCACGCCACCCGGTCTTGCTCCTGTGGAGGCTCCTGGACTAGCCCTGCCCCATCCTCTGCTGGGAACACCACCTCGTCCTGCTGTCCATTCAAACCAGCCTCTCCCCTGCTGTGCCACCTAAGTGACACCCCAGGCCCCCCGCCTGGCCCTTCGCAGGCCCGGCTCTGCGCCCTACCTCTCCCAGGTAAATGTGCGGTGACTGTTTCGGTGATGGAGACTACTTTCCTTTATTTCACGCTAAATTCACAAGTTTATCGTTAGGCCTGTGGAAGAAACAACTAGATACCCAAGTGCAAAAGAATAAAGTTGGACCCTTCCCTAAAACCATATACAAAAATTAACTCAAAATGGACCTAAACCCAAGAGCTAAAACGATAAAACTCTCAAAAGAAACCATAGTGGGGAAGCAATGATTTCTCGGCTGTAACACAACAGAATAAAAGGCGATCCATGGAATGGAGAAAATATTTGTAAATCACAAATCTGACAAGGGATTATATAGCCAGAATAGATAAGACACAACCCAGTTAAGAAGTGGGCGAGCCCTGGCTGGTGTGGCTCAGTCGACTGAGCGCTGGCCTGCAAACCAAAGGGTCGCCAGTTCAAGTCCCAGTCAGGGCACAGGCCTGGGCTGTGGGTGGGGGCCTGTGACAGGCAACCACACATTGATGTTTCCCTCTCTTTCTCCCTCCCACCCCTCTGTAAGAATAAATAAATAAAATCTTTTGTAAAAAATGGGTGGGGCACTTAAATGAAAATTTCTTCAAATATTTACAAACGGCCATGAAAAGATGCTCAGCATCACTAATCACCAGGGAAACGCAGGTCCAAGCAACAGGGAGACACCACCGCACACCCACTGTGACAGCTGCTATTTGAAAACCCAGCAAACAACAAGCTGGCGAGGATGTGGGGAAACAGGGGCCCTCAGC